TAATAGATAGGTATAGGGAAATAGTATATGAATTTGTTGACAAAGTGATAATGAATCATAATATGATATTATATACGGGGTGTTCCATTTGAAAAATCAAAGAAGCCGCTACTTTCTAGTAGAAGCGACAACGCCACTTCGTCTGAAATATTTTAGGCATGTAGGTCAGATTTATGCATACTGTGAAATTTTCAGGTTGATCCGTTAAATAGTTTGTCAGAAACGGCTAATTAACGCTCATCATGAAAAGCCCTGTATACATATGTGCAAACTAAGACATACACATATAAAAGAAAATTATGAAAACGTTTATTCGCAGAATCATTTCTCCAATAACAAGGCTATAACTTTCTTTTGAAATGTGACATAACTACCACAGCGTCAGCGGCCATGGAGATCCTTCTATATCTACCTCCTCTCTACATTTTTTCTGGAGAGAGAGGCTAGATGGACTGCATATAGACTTGTGCACATTGCCAATTGCACAAATCAATTCAATGCAACAGACTGTTGGTTGACACTGCAAGTCACAGCATTCTGGAAATGACCTCTGACTTTATGCGTCCAACTGTCAACTACGAACTGCTTTATAAAGTAATGTTCCCGAGTAGAAAGGACTGGATTCTCTGGGAGAAGGAAATATTAAGAGCAGATAATTATTGGTTCACAGATGGTTCCAAAAACACCTTCCGGTTCTGGTGCAGGTGTTTTCAGTCACAGACCAAGGACAGAGATATCAGCCTGCCTAGGAACCTAGGCAGCAACCTAGCAGAAATTTACGTTGTTGAATTGTGCGCGGAGAGATTGAAAGAATCCAACCTCATACACAAGTCAATAAAAATATTCTCGGACAGTTATACGGCGTTGGAAGCTCTTGGCTCCTACCGAACAACGTCTAAATTGGTAGCAAAATGCCAAAAACGACTTTCCTCGATTGGATGGCGTAACAGATTGTCTCTGGTCTGGAATCCTGGCCATACTGGCCTGGAAGGCAATGAGGCTACTGACTTCCTTGCAAAGGAGGGTGCTGCAAGCAGCTTCAACGGACCAGAATCTGTCATTGGCATCGCTTTAGGCTTTGCCAAACAAACACCTGGATGGCAAGAGGATTAATGGACTTCTGGCAGAATCTTCTAGGAATGGCTCACTCCAAGACGTTTATTCACCCTTCGAAGCTTGATACCAAGCAGTTGTTGGACTACACTAGGGATGAACTACAATGTCTAACAGGCTTTCTTACAGGTCACTGTTATTTGAATCATCATATGCAGAGACTCGGACTGTCGGAAGCCAGTGTGTGTCGCGTCTGTTTAGAAAATGATGAAACAACAGAGCACATACTTTGTGTCTGCCCCGCTGGGGACCGAATCAGGTTTTTAGAGTTTGGCAGAACCGTACTCTTACCATCCGACCTGAAAGACCAGTCACCATAGAAACTTATCGGCTTCGTTAAGAAGCTGGGTTAATTTGGTCGAGTGTAATTAGGTGTGAGCCACAATAAACCCTTGGGGGTTGCGGTGGAGGGTCGAATAGACACACTCACTTTGAACCTTACCTAACCTAACCCCTAACTATTTGAATGATTCCAGGAAATTTCATTATGGAGACTTTTTGTAGAATGTCGTTCGATGTTTTGTAATTCTCAATGAGTTGCCATGTCTAGTATTGTGTTCTGCAGCGTTTCATTGATATTCTGATATCTTCTGTCTAGCAAACATGATAAATTGAACACTGTATGGCAGGCACTGTGAGAATTTAATTTTTTTTTTGTAAATAGATCGGCAACTGTCTCGATAATTCAAATTGAATATCAGTTTGCTTAGCAAACCCTCCATCCATTTTTATATAGTAGATTGAAATTATTTATTGACACTACTACAAACGTTATAGAATTTAAGGTTCATAGATGTTTTGAGAGTATCGACTAATTAAATACTCGATTTTATTTCATTCATTTCTGATGTGTTAATGGTAACTACAAATATCTAATTTCAGCTACAATCAACTCCATCGTTTGTAGTTTGAGGACAATTGTTATTTTATGATTTGAGGTCTTGTTATCGTAGCATTTTTGCTATACTTCAAAAGAATATAAAATAAATCAGCATTGTGTTGTTACTACAATAAACTACAATCAATTTAGAACCTATTTCAAAACTTTTTGGCACAATATTACTCGTCCTTCGTAGTTAATAGTTCGTTCGTAGTTAATATTAATAGTGCTTTCTCAGTAACCGATAAGACTACAACATAACACTGAACATAAGACTGAACATTACTTCATTTATTAGTTTTTCACGTATAGTCAGTGGGCATACTTGAAGACTAGCTATAAATTAAATCATCTAAAAGAACAATTCGTTCAGGCCAGTCTCAACACCCTACACAGTAGGTTAATGGACTGACACCTATCAGAAAACAACTACTCCAACTACTCGTGGCTAATACCACGAAGAGCGTTGGATTATATCCGACAGGTGTCAGTGAAGTTATTCCTGCATATGCTGTTGGCGATACAACTGCCGCAATAGATTTTCAATTATTGGAACACACTTGCAGACCGGTTTCGGGCTGTTTGGCCACTCGTCAGTGCAAGGTAGTGTATATCATCAACATAAAGTCGATGATTTTCGATAATTGAAAATCGAATTCCGTCAGAGTATCATTCCTCGAACTAAGCTGAAGACTACAACAAACAACGATTTTCAATTATCGGAAATCATCGACTTTATGTTGATGATATACACTACCTTGCACTGACGAGTGGCCAAACAGCCCGAAACCGGTCTGCAAGTGTGTTCCAATAATTGAAAATCTATTGCGGCAGTTGTATCGCCAACAGCATATGCAGGAATAACTCCTGTGAAGAATCCTGCACTGACACCTGTCGGATATAATCCAACGCCCTTCGTGGTATTAGCCAGGGGAGTAGTTGTTTTCTGATAGGTGTCAGTCCTACAGTGTAGGGTGTTGAGACTGGCCTGAACGAATTGTTCTTTTAGATGATTTCATTTATTAGTATTGTTTGTAGGTAAAGTAGGCTAAAAAAAGGTAGATTTTTTCAAAGCGGGTTCCAGCGTGACGGAGCTGAAAAAATGCAATGGAGAACTGTATACAGAAGGGACAAACATTTCAGTCCACCACGATAAGTTACTGCCCAGATTTGAAGTAGTTTTCACAAAGAAAAATGTTCTATACATCAGTAACTTCTGAATATTACTGGAGTTCTATCCCAACACCAAACTATGACACGTGTTTCAGTCACCAAGTGATTGAAGATGATCACTTGGTAATTGAAGCACGTGTCGAGGTGTTACAAATGAAGGTTTGGTGTTGGGATAGAACTCCAGTAATATACACTACTACACCAAAGATTCCAAACAGTGCATAACAAGTCAGTAATTTATATTTAATAATTTTGCTTGAAAAAAAAAGAGCTGAGAAATTGTAGCGAAAATTATCCTGAAGTTCTCAGTTGAAGTTTTTATTTTTTTTCATATTGTAGAAGTGAAAATCCCCCAAAAGGTCTATGTTTATTTAGATTACTGTCAAAAATTATTCAAAGTCACAATGTTCTTTCCTTACTTTTGTGTGGAAGTCCATTTTCTACCAATTGTTGCAGTTTCTATCTATTCTAAACTTCGGTTCATGTTCGAGCCATTAAATATCCATATTATCAAGGTTATAGTTCTACAAAATTATGCGATTTTTGAAATACATTGTTTTTTTAATGTCTACCGCGAACACTGATATGAACCAGCCTTGATAAAACAATATCTACTTCAGTTTATCAACTCCTACGAAATTTTCGTCAGCCAACCCTCCAGCACCTAAAACCAGGCAACACACTTTACCTCCACGCGGCAAAATTACGAAACAAAACGTTACATCGTCGACGCGCTCGAGTATCGTTGCAACAATTACCTATATAACAACAATTTTAATCCGTTTTCCTGAGTCTTGAGAAACCATTAGAGAGGAAAGCTAAACAACCAGAGCATAGCTTGGTTATTCATTCTTTAGAAACTGCTTCAACGAACAGTTATTCGTTGTTAAACTGTCGACTCTTTTACATACGGAGGCAGTTGGCTGTGGAAAATTGTAATCTAATCGGAGATCTGATATTACAGTAAAATTAGTTCGATTAGACTATGTACCATGTGATTCGTGTGCAAAGTGATATCTAATTGGTAAGTGAGACAGTTTTTCAATGAAGTAAATATTTGCCTCTGTATGCTGACTACATCAATATACAACGTGTTGCGGTATGCTGAATTTGATTAGTACCTAAATAATGACAGATTTGACAGTAGTGAGAGGGCATATAAATATTGTTAAGAAAGCAAACAATTTTGAGTTTGGGTAGGAAATTTTGAGGTTTACTTTGAGGATTTTTTAACTATTAACTGTCACTTTTTAATTGTTGGTCTACTTTATGTTTAAAACAACTAGGTACTGTAAAATACTCGTACTTAGTCGATAAATAAGTAAAATCTATCGTTTTGAAAGTTTATTGTCATTGTCGAGTTCGTGTTTTGTTGATTGCTTCAGAGTTGAAAAGAAGACTGAATATATTCAATGAGTGTTGGAAATGTGTGGTTTTTTAAAACTAGAAGATTCTGAAATGTCACTGAAAACACGTGAGGGAACTTATTTTATGATGTTATTCTATATTTTCAGACAACCAAGTAGTTGGTTTCTCGTCAAGAAATTTCAAAATTCACCAGATATTTATTTTTATCCAACAGTAGAAATCTCAAAGACTAATATTATTTTAACCTATTAATTCTGTACAGTTTTTTATTGTTTAATACTTGGAAGTTTCACTAGCCTTCTATCAGAATTCAGTTGTAAATAGGATTCGTAATATAGTGAAAGGGTTGCGAAATGTCAGTATATCCTTGACCGTCATGTTTTAACGTCATTAGTTGCATTTGGTTGCCACCAGCCCCAAATATGATTGGTCAAATAACAGAATACTAAATTGTCATGATTAAGGAATAATCGTTAACTGTAAACATACGAGATCTGTTAAAAAATTAATGTGAATTTTCATTTTTCTCAAAAAAATATTCATTTATTCATCAACTTCTATGTCGTCCCCTTCAAAGTAATCCCCCTCAGATATAATACCCTTATCTGTATCTGTAGAGTAGGGAGAGTGAGTGTAAGCCCACAGCACTTAAGCCACATGTGACCCATTGTACATCCTTCCGAGGAGTTGTCCACCTAGGTCATCGTCCATCCTGTCCTCTCTAGGAAGATGGACAGGTCACTGGGAGACATCACCTTCATATCGGCAGGTGTAGGCCAAGCCTCGCAGAATATACACTCTCTTATTGACGATAACTCCGGGCACTCGCATAGGACTTGCCTGACAGTCTCATCTTCCTGTTCACACATCTTGCATAGAGGTGTGTCCACTAGCCCCATATTATGGAGGTGTTTCCGTAGTTGACAGTGGCCAGTCAGAAATCCTACTGTTAAGCGTAGATTTTTTCTGGTCATCGCCAGATATTTCTTCGGGGGCAGCTTCCCAGGGTCGCCCAGGGTGATCCTGGCAAGATTGCATCTTTTGATTTCATCCTACCTCTTTAGGGATTGAGCATGGGTGTGACGTTCGGCTAGTTTCGCAATTGTCGAAGTCATCAGGCCGTAGGTGCCACTGGGTCCTGAAATTCTTAGTCCAGCCGTCGGCAATGCTATTAACTTTACTCCTGTCGTGCCCTTCAACCCACCTCAGGATAATGTTATTATCTACCGAGGCTTTGGCTGAATCTTGGTGGCACTCTAGTACTAGCCCTGAGGTAACACGTTGTCTGTTCAAGGCTAATAGGGTTTATCTGCTGTCAGTGCAGATTGTTATGTTTTTGCCAAAAATTTTCTTTTTGGTTATCTCTTTTATGGCAATTGAGATACCAGCCAGTTCTGTTTGGACCACGCTGGTATTTTTTCCCATTCCCCATTCCTTCTTTGGTTTTTGAGCCGTCTGTATATATGCGTATTGCATTTATAGCATCTGACTCTGTGTTATGTTTTATTTGTATTTTGTAGGGTTTATTAAACACAAACCTGGGTTCAATTGCATCACTGGTTGTCTGCAGCAGAGGTTGCGCATTAAGCGCTTCTCGCTATAGACTCAGCCTCAATTGACCCATTCCTACTTCGAGGTGTACACCAGCCGTACGCAATCGTAACATGGCCATTAACACAACCTCCTCAACGTACAGGTCCAGAGGGGTGAGACTCGTAATATATCCATTGCCGCGGTTGGTGATGTTCTTATGGCTCCTGTGATGTTTAAACAAGCCAGTGCTGTATTTGATATAATTTTTGGATGGCCGTTGCTTGTAGAACTTTCGGTCCCCATGCAATGGCTCCGTGCGTTAACATAGGTCTTATTATTGTAGTGTAGATCCAGGTGGCCATACGGGGTGAACGACCCCATGCGCGTCCCACTCTTCTCCGACATTGCTCATAAGCCACATATGCTTTTTTTGCTCTACTCTGTAGGTGAGAGTTCCATGTTATCTTCCTGTCGAGAAAGTATTTCACCTCTTCAGAGAAGTTTAGTTCATTTTTGAAGATTTCGGGAGGTTTTAAGACCGATAAACTTCTTTTCCTGGTGAAAAGGACCATGTCAGTCTTCTTGGGATTGATCGACAGTGAGGGTATTATATTCACCAATATAATACCCTTGTGCCAGTGTTTTTTCACTCCTTGAAGAAGTTCTGATATGTATTTTTGTATGTTTTTGAGTTCTCTCAGTAATTTGGTTTTTATCTCATCATTCATCGTCCTTTAATAGTTCTCTTCAATCTTGGAAACAGCAAAGAGCCGCGGGGGGCCAAATCTGGTGAATACGGTGGCTGAGGCATGACTTCTGTGTTGTTTTTGGCCAGAAAATTACGAACAAGCAATGACGAGTGAGTACGTGCAGTGTTGACCGTACGACCATGCGGCAAGAACTCCTGATGCACTCCGCCACGATAATCTGAGTAAACAGTGAGCAAAACCTTGACATTTCATCGAACTTGGCGTGCTCTTTTCGGTCTTGGCTCCTCCATTGGATAGTTGGTTGAATCAACAGTGGAATAAAAAATAAATAAATTTTGATTTGAGTGTAGTCAGTTATTGGTTACTCCACGAGGAAAACGTAAAGGTGTAGTACTATATACACTGGGAATTTTTTGATTTTTTTTGTTGTGACTTAACGAAACTCAAAATAGTTTTCAAAACTAATACTAATCTTTTCTCAAACCTCCTGTGTTGCACATTATAATATACTCTCCCAAAAACCAAGAAAGGAATTTCTGGCAAAAACATAACAATCTGCACTGATAGCAGACAAGCACTATCAGCCTTGAACAGACAACGTGTTACCTCAGGGCTAGTACTAGAGTGCCACCAAGATTTAGCCAAAGCCTCGGTTGATAATAACATTATCCTGAGGTGGATTAAAGGGCACGAAAGGAGTAAAGGTAATCGCATTGCCGACTCTTTAGCCAAGGAAGCGGCTGGACTAAGAATTTTAGGACCCAGTGGCTCCTACGTCCTGATGACTTCGACAATTGCGGAACTAGCCAAACGCCACACCCATGCTCAATCCCTAAAGAGATGGGATGAAATCAAAGGATGCAATATTGCCCTAGGAAGCTTGCGCCGAAGAAATATCTGGCGATGACCAGGAAAAATCTACGCTCAACAGTAGGATTTCTGACTTGCCACTGTCAACTGAGGAAACACCTCCACAATAAGAGATTGTGTGTTCGGGGAGTCTTGGTCTACACCTGCCGATATAAAGGAGATGTTTCCCAGTGACCTGTCTACTTTCCTGGAAAGGATAGTATGGACGATAACCTTGGAGGACAACTCCTCGGGAGGATGTACAATGGGTCACATGTGGCCTAAGTGCTACAGATACAGAGAGATACTCTCCCAAAGCCTTACCTCAAGAATCTGAACGTCTCTTGTGATGGATTCATTTTTGTAGCTTTTCTATGCTTGTGGAATATAGAATATGGGCTGCCCGGCTGCCAATCATTGTTATCATAATGCGGATATTCAACAATAAATTGGTATGTGGATATTCAACAATAAATTGGTATGTTGATTGAGTCATTACTTTCGGTTATACAAGTAATTATTGAATATTGTATAACAGAACGTCGTTAAATATGAATTAATGCTTTGAATTACACAATATTTCAATAAAAAGGGAACTTATTAACTGAACCTTGTAAATGGGAAAGCAAAAAATTGGAGAAGGAGAATTAACTTTATACTTTCTCGGTGTTTCTACTGTTACGTTTGTTCTCGTGGGTTCACCAATAATTGACTACACTGAATAATCAAACATAACTCCATTTCACTTTAAATACAACAAACACTTCAACTAAAACTTCAACTAGTATTTGAATGTCTATCGCCTTACTGGAACACTTCGCGTACCGCACTGTAACGTCCACTTGACTCTGTGGTATCTCTTCATTTCGATATTTCCTAATTTCTCTGCCTTTTCTCTAGGTCAATGCTACTGTCGACTTTGATTGGCTGATGTTGAGCCCTTCTTCCCCAGTCCATCTAGATTCAACTTTCAATATCGCTCACTACAGCATGTGTACCCACACAATATTTGTTTGCTGCTTAGGAGCCTTTTGATGACATATCAATTCCTTCCAAGTACCCGAAAAACATCTTCCCATCTTTTCATGATACCCATTCCAACGATACTGTTTCCTGAACTAGTTTGTACTTTTTTGCATTGCCTGCAACTAGGTCTCCGTTGAACTTCCCTATTTTGTTTAGCTGTCTTTTCAACGAACAGTGTCCCTCAGGTATTTCTTCATTCTTTTTCATACGGTCTGTATACAAAAGCTTGTGCGTTCCCAATATGTTTATTATTGTTCCACTTTCTGAACCGATCTCGTACCAAAGATTTTGGTACTTCCACAGCTGGTTATGCAGTTGATGGTCGGTGCTTGGCAAACCCATCAGCTTTTTCAATGCCTGCGATTTCTGAGTGAGTACCCTAGCACCCAGTATAGGGGTTATGTCCACGAGTTTCTTCAGATTTTTGCGGCATTTCCAACCGATATGTTACTCTTGGGGCGGGATGAGGTTTCACCCATAAAGGTAAAAATCCTTTTGAATGACGCTTCAGCCTAAGGTGCGGGTGCGGATGCACATCTTCACAGGTAGCAGGAGGTTGCATATCCTAATGAGCATCTAGAGGTGATTTCGAATTGGGGTGAAAGTAACCAGGTTCTATTCAATGCCACGAAAACCCAGGCATCGGTTTTTTTCAAAAAGATAAATATCTCCGAACCGGATATGGTAATGTCAAGACAGAAAATTCCGCTTTCTGCTTCGATAAGTTGGTTGTGGGTTTCTGTATATGTAGAGTAGGGAGGGTGAGTGTAGACTCACAGCACTTGGGCCACATCCTCCCGAAGAGTTGTCCTCTAGGTCATCGTCCATCGTGTCCTTTCCAGGAAGGTGAACAGGTCACTAGGAGATATCTCCTTTATATTGGCAGGATGCCACCGTGAGAGTTGTCTCACGGTGGCATCCGCGAAGGTTTTGAAAGGTGCAGCGATATTACTGTCGTTGCACGGCTCCTTCAATTTTCTTGGGGTTCCTTCCATAGAGGTCGATAAGTGAGGGAGCTTTCCTGCAGCAGAAGCCGGTTCCTTGCCTTCATTCAAGGCGGAGCTCTTGGCGCACGCCGCAAGAAGTTCCCTTGCTATTGGAGGTGACCTGCTATGTGCAGCCTCATTCCAAGCGGTAGATTGAGGTGGACATTTCTGTTCTTCCCCAGCTACCGCCTTAGATTGAGGTGAGCACTTCTGTCCAGCCTCGAGATAGGTTTTTTTGTGTTTGTTTCATACATGTGTGTTCCCACGAGTAGCAAGGGAAGAGTTGGTCACTTCTGGCAGAGCCCCGCATTACCAGAGGCTGATTACAATTGGGTTTCGCCCAGTTCCCCAAGGGGATTGTTCGTGACCGCATATCACCCTGCGGCCATTCAGCTATCGGTACGATTCCTTACACTTTAGCTTGAATAGGCTGGTCCACGGTGGCATGTTCTGCAAAGGCTTTTAGGGGGTTTTAGTTCCCCTCACCCTACTTATTTCTGCCACAGGAGTCCGGCGACCCCTTCCGTAAGGCCACATTGTCTTCCCGGACAGGTCCTTCAGTCCCCTGGTAGTTCCCCTATCCGCCACCTGGAGACGCTGGTGTTTTGTCCTTAAAAAAGCCTGAGGTGTATCTGTATCTGTACCGAAAAGATACACCTTTGCTGGGCCACTCATTTTCCTAGCCACTCATGGCACTGTAATGGACCATGAAGTAACCAAAGTGTTGAACATATATTAACCGACCTTTCATTTAGACATTGTCGCGTTTCCACCTCATTTTTTTAAAGTATTTCAATAAGTTTCTCAAATGTTTCTTCAAAATATCCGAAGCACATGAATGATGTTACTCAAGGGTTATACCCATAACCATATGTCAATGTCGCATACCTGTCATTATTTTATTTTCAGTTCCATGACAAGATGAGCGCCAACATGTTCCCGAAACCTCCCACCCCGACGACTCCCTGTCGCCCCTTGGACAACAGATCGAGAATCCCCCTCGCCAGCCCGATTCCTCTTCGCAGACACAACAGCCTGCGCTTGAGAGGAGAACGAGACGTTATTCGAGACGACAACCGCTTCCGGGACGTTAGCAGGGACGCGAACCGTAGACGAGATTCCAGCAGGGAGCCGAACCACGGCGATCGATTGGCGGCTGGAAAGGCGGCGCAGTCCACCGCCAACCCCCTGCTGAAGCGAGGGCAGTCGTTCATGGAGAGGAACGAACACAGGGTGCGAAATGGGGGTGAAAACATTACACCGGTGGTACGAAGGCCGGATAACGTCAAAATTGGGTTCAAGAGCACGCTAGATTTGCCGAAAGGCGTTGTTACTACCCCTCAGTCGCCTGCCAGAGTCAGGAGTTTGGTGAGTTTTTTTACTTGTAGATTTCCGCAGTTTTTTTTGGGGATAAGGTGACGGTGACGGAAGTATTGAATTTGTTATTCTAGTCGGGGTTTTCTTGTACGTGTTTTGCAACGCGTTTGTTTCAAGGTAAATGCGTTTTTTGAGTAGAAGCCGGTGTCGTTGTTACGTATTTGTTATATAAATGACCTTTGCAGGGATTGTGTGTCAGAGGTGATTGACATCCGTGCGCTAGACGCGATAATATTATTATTTCATGTGGAATTACAGGGTGTCACGCGATCGTGTTGGCAACCTGAAGAATCATCGGAAAAAATCATGTTGTTCTATTGGATTTTCTGTAGGGGTTCGATCTATTGGGATTATAATTAACGTGCAGTTTCCATTTGACATAATACAGGCTGATTCACGGCGGATGGCACATTAGACGTTTCTGGATCACGGATCCAGAAAACGGATCACTTCTGAAATTTAATGGAGAGCATATTCGGACATTATATACCCAACTAAAATATTTTTGACAATGCTGTGTTACCAATTCCATTAGACAGTAGTAGTAACTTTGATTTTTCAAATGCAACTCCCTGTATATAATATTATTTTTGGAATCTACAATTGAAAGTCGAAGTAAACGATAATCTGCACTCTCAAAGTTAGCGGCACTCTCAAGGGCCATAAAAACAATACATAGAAATGAACCGACAGCGAACTATTGCACGTGGACTGTAGACTTGGCGGTTCGTATTGGATAATTTTTACTGACCGAGTTTTATGATTGGCTGAAGAGTCATAAATTTAAATTTGACGGTAACGAATAGAAATCTGGAATGCGGGGATGGTTATCAGGAACTGATCGCGATTTGAGTGTTGAAATTCGATATTGGTGCAGTTATAATTACTTAAAATTGGACAAGTACTAGTACAAATAACGAGTGTGATAACAACGCAGACTTTTTCCGGTGTAGTGATTCCAATAGCGGTGGTGAACAATGCGAAAAAGAGATCAGTGAATAAGATTCGGATGCATTTGAATATTGAAACACAGATAGTATGTTTTAATGTATATAAGAATCTACATCTCAAGTTTGGTTTCGAGGGAAACAAACTATTACAAGCAACATCAGATTTGACCGAAATTCCTTTCTCAAATGTACTTAAAATAGTCAAAAACAAACCTTATGAACGCAAGAAGCGATGTGATACAGGATTACCAAAACCTTTAGATTAGATGTGCATCTAATAAAATCATTGAAAAAACAATATACCTAAGACTGTTACAAAAGCAATGAGATTCCTACGTCTGAAAAAATAAGTTCTTTACACCATTGAATTGAATGTAAAAAAGTGCTTTGGAGACGTTTTCATAGAAACAAGACATTTTTGACAGGGAGAAAGTTACTGCAACTTTTCGAAAATGCACATTTTCAAAAAACACCATCAGGCACAGCCATCAGTTTTCATGTATCTAGTTTGAAATCAGGAGTTTTCTTTTAAAAGTGTCAAATTTGGCCCACTTGGTAGCTATTCTTGGAGACGTAAATATGATTCAGGTTATGTTATGTTTATACAACGTCGGAAACTAGGACTTGTCGCCCCAAAAGAAACGTGTCATGGAATCGTCGTTAGGATGCTATCATTTTCAAAATGAATAAATATAGTTTAAAAAACTAAAAAACACGATTTCAAAGAACATCGAACTGAAAAGTTTAAAATATTTTAAAAAAATAAGCTTAAAACAATAACGAACGAAAAATACTAGTATTATTGTGAAAAAAGCGACGGGCGCTTGATATACAAAAATATGGTACAAAGAAAGCACGCTTTTTTCACAATAATGTTTTTAAAAGCGTGTTTTTAGTTTTTTAAACTATATTTAGTTTACATTTTTTAGTTTCGTATGCTATAAAAGCGTGTTTTTTAGTATTTTTAAACTATATTTATTTTATCTAAACTTTGGGATCAATCAGCCGTATATTGTTTAGAAAAATGACCATTGATATTTTCCGATTTCGGAGAGGAAGCCTGATAATCAGCTACCAAGCCCAAGGCAGCAGGCGCGCAAAGGAGAGTTACAAATAAAGCAGCAGGCGCACGTGTTAATAAAAAAAATACTTTTTTCAAATGAAGAAATACATGTAAAGTGAATTCGAATTATATCCAGGAGGTTACATACAGCGCCATCTGCTCGCGAATAGATCAAGCAATAATGTCGATAATTCTGTCAAGTACAGATCTCGATCTTGAGAGTTACAAACAAACAAACATACATACATACATACATACATACTTACATACATACAGGTGAAGCTAATATTAAAGCGTGTTAAAATAATTAATAAAAAAAGAAGCGTCGTTTTTTACGCATGCGGGTAACCTCCAAAACTGATGATAAAATTCTATATTGATTCGTGTGCTTTTTACGAGTGACCTCAGGTATTCTAGTAATGAAAACCCACCGACAATACGCACTAATAATTCGATTAGGATATTACTGGAAATAACTGCCCGCTCGAATGATTATTAAAATCCTCTGTTTTCGTAGGGGTGTTCTACATGTTCGATCAGGCGTTTTATTGCAATTAAACGAATTGCCTGGTTTGGGATCCACTTTTAGATGCGTTTTGCTTTTCAACTACAATTTCACTTCATCGCTGAAAGTTCTAATTGTTGTCAATATTATAGAAGGAACGGTAATTGCTAATTGGTTGATTGAACTGGATTAATGAAGCCGTAACCTGAATACCGATGAGTGGCAGTATTGGCTTTCGATATACAGCGAAAGCAATACAGGGTGTAAAGGTTAAAATGGAGTCTTCGGCGAAGCATGAATCCAAAAACAGACACTTTTCCCAAACACCAGGACTCCAACACTCTTCTTATACCGCGTTTCACCAACCAAGTTGGCGTCTTCAGGGCGCTGGGTGTTGCAAAACTATTCCCAAATATTAGATACAGATATACTTTTAACAACTTCAGCTCTTGAAAGTTATTTTGTTCGAGAGTGGTGTGGGAAGTTTCCGACCAAACAAAGATACAAGACGTTCTTTTAGATTTTTTCCAACATGGTCTCCTTTTAACTCTACTCATCACTTCTTTCGGCGACGCTCTCATCTCTATAACCCATCCAAATATTACTCGGCATTTTTCTCTGCAAAATAATTGTTCATGAAGGTGATCACCTCTTCATTTGACGAAAATATCTGTCCTCCTAGCGCAGTTTTCAGATGAGGGAACAAAAAGAAATCGCTTGGGGTTAGATCTGGTGAGTAAGGTGGATGGTCTAGCAGCTCAAATCGTAATTCGTGGATTTTCGCCATGGCAGCCGCTGAGGTGTGTGCTGATGCGTTGTCTTGGTGAAACGGGATTTTCTTTTCTGCAAATGTGACCTTTTTCAGCAAGTTCTGCCTTCAGCTTGTCAAGTAATGATGTGCAGTATGCTCCAGTAATGGTTTTTCCCATTTGAATCTATAAAAATAACTCCTTGACTATCCTAAAAATTACCCAAACTTTCACTGCGATAAATAATAATAAGGCACAAGGTCACCCATTTGTTTTATATGGATGATCTTGAACTTTATGCCTCTGGAGAGAAGGATCTCCATCAGTCCTTGAGGGTGGTGGAAGAGTACACGCATGCTATCGATATGAAATTCGGGATAGACAAATGTGCATTGGTCCATCTTGAAAGAAGACGATGCGCGGACAACGGAGAGTATGTGTAGCTGGTAGATGGAAGCATCCTACACCATCTGGATGCCGGAGAGACGTATACTTACCTCTGGGAGGAACAACGCCACTCACAAGACGTAACAGCAGTGAAAAACTCTCTCCGCGGCAAGTATCAGCACAAACTTCGACACATCTGGTCACCGGAACTGTCGGGGAAGAACAAAGTTGCTGCAACAAATATGCTTGCCGTTCCAATCTTACTCTACTCGTTTGGAGTAGTGAAGTGGACTCGGGAGGAGCTGTATCAACTCGACGTAAAGACCAGGGAGGCCGTGGACTTTTGAGTTTGGAGTGTCTTCATGACAGAATGGTACTGGATACAGCCTGTAAAGTCGTCAGGAGTTCGGATCCCCTTCTTTGCATGGTTCGTGACCATGAGATAGCAGGAATTGGAGCATTTCTCTCTAGGGCAGCTGCCCGAGCAGCTGATGAACTCGGTATAGTTTTCGACACTGAACGAGGTGACCACAACTCTGTCACCGAGTTGGAACCCGTTCAGAAAAAGCTCGGATAAAAGCAGCAGAGATCATATTACTTCTGCGGAAACACAAGGATAAGCCAATGCATGGGGTCTTCTTCAATAACATTGGAGACCTTGGCTTATCAAAGCGCCTGACGTTCGCTTAGCGGAAACACATAGATAAGCCATTGCATGGGGTCTTCTTCAATAACATTGGAGACCTTGGCTTATCAAAGCGCCTGACGTTCGCTTTTCTCAGGTCGAGTGGGCTGAAGTCGGAAACTGAGGGGTTCATCATGGATTGCCAGGATGGTGTCTTCAACACCTTAGTCTACGGCAGTCGCGTGATGGGTATAAAGGTTCCTGACACAAGGTGCAGGGCCTGCCACGAGGCGCCAGAGACTCTAATGTACTTGCTATCAGCATGTCCAGCATATGCGGTCTTAGCCTATATCCATCGACATAACGCGGCCCTAAGAGTGCTATATCACCATCTACGGCACTGTACGGTATTGACGAGACACCGGTGTTGCCCTAAGCTCCAGGGGATATTGAATCCGTTGTGGGGAACGAGAAGTGCCGAATTTATTGGAAATATTCGTTTCCCACCCTCAGGCAAATACAAGCTACTAAGCCTGATGTAGTCCTTCTCGACCATCAGAGCAAAACGATATTTGTCGTGGAGTTTTCAGCTCCTGGCGAGACAAATATCGTCAGAAAACCGTCAGAATCCAACTCGTCTTTGATTTACTTTGGCGTATCGCCTTTCAAGTAACTGTCAACACCTGAACAACGAAATTCACTAGCGTCTATTTACGAATGCTGCTACCTTTATGTTGAGGTTGGAAACTTTTTAGACCACCCTCGTAATGCATATATGACAACTTCCCAAAAAGTTTAAAAAAACTTCAAAACAAGTTAAAGGTGGACTATATTACTGTTTGGTGTATATTGCGTGAAAACTATTTATCCATATCCATATCAAAACAGTTTTGTGTTCATAATTAGTAGTTCTACGGATCCCAGAGCTTTGACATGCATTACAATGATAGATACAAAATACCAATATGTAAAATATGACTGATACACATTAGATAGAGATCAAGGAAAGGTAATTTTTTTTCAAGTTTTTCTTGAACATTCCAACAGAGAATATCTCTAGAAAGTGAATTAGCCTCAACGATGGTTTTGAAAAATAAGATTTTCTGCTATCAGCTTACGATGTCGACTCCACATGAAACTTATTCGCATTTTTATGTAATCTAAAAATAAACCGAATACTAAAAGTTTATCGAACAAAGCTGTATAACCGTGAATTACTACTGGGAAAGTAATGCAATCACCGTTGTAGATTTGCATTCAAAATGTATGTTGTGAAATTGACTACATTATGTACGGATGTATGTAGCCGTAGATGCCCATTTCTTTTTTTTTATAAAACCTCAGTGTTTTTCTCAAGATCTTAAACTTTTTTCCCGAGATCTTGACAATTTTCTCGAGATTTCAGACCTTGAGGAAAAATTCTTGAGTAGAAATTCGAAATCTCGAGAATAATTTGATATTTCGGGTAGAAATTCGAAAACTCAAGAAAAAACTCAGTATCTGAAGAAAAAATAGAGGCAAAATAAAAACTGCTGATAATGTATCAGCAATTTTTTCTGATCCAATGTTGAGAACCAATGTTGTTTTTTATAATGGATTTGCGTCTGCACAATACTTATCACTATCCGGTGTGCCACAAGGCTCCAATCTGGGACCCCTGCTTTTCCTCATCTTCATAAATGATTTCACTTCCGAGCTTTCGTGTGGCAACTTACTTTTTGCAGAAGACTTGACTGTGAGACTTCATTGTGAGATTTTCATTAGAACAGATTAACAAATCCGCAACACGTTTTCGCTGCACAGTAGCTTTTTCAAGCGTGTTCACTAACAAACTGAATTCTACATACATTGTGATTTATATATACTTTTTAAAATATTACTATCTACCTAGAAACTAATAATAAACTGGGAACTAATTAATGACAGTTATACCTGGTTCAACGAACATTTATACCTGAGTTTAATGACTGGGTCAATTAATTATCTCACAATGAAGTGTGAATGTGATGAAAATCTATGATAATGTATTTTGAGAAACAAGTATCAGCCAACTCTATCTTATATTTTGAAGTTGATAAATATAACAGTCTATTCAATAAATATAATAAAATATATTTAATAAATACAAAACAAAGTCACCTTCACAAGAAACAGAACACACTACGCCTATGCAGATAAGGACGCTTGATAATGAAGAAACCAAATGACTAGTTATGGCATTTTGAGGACGTAAATATAATAGACCTGCGAAGTTTATCGATGTTTCAAAGTATTTAACGAACTGGTTCACTTATTCGCTCGTACATCCTATCGATATGCAGAAGCTATCTTGTTACGGGGGGCAAATTTTATGAAATCATCTTAATTTTCAATTATTTACAATGGCGATGCATAGACAGTAAAAATGACCCCGGTAAGAATTTAGTTCTAACATTTAACATTGTTGCCGTTAGCTCTCAGTTCAATTTGTATGTGAGTTACCTTCAATTGAAAATAGTTATACTATAATTCCTAAACCCTAACTTGAAATATTCATGTCTAACAGGTGATTGGGCAAATATAATTTTTTTTGAGACGACATTCGAATAGACTTCAATTTTATTTAAATTCTGTATATGTTCTTTCTTCTTTCAGTCGTTATCTTTATCGAATACCCGTCTTCAAAGTAGTCCGAAGTCACCGTCTATTTCAACATCTTCGCCAAATAATCCAGTCACTCCAAATTATTCGACAAATTTGTTGGATAGTTGGGACGCAGACAGCATTACAAGTATAGGTGAGTATTATGTGAACAGACAGTACAAATAATTAATATGCAGTAGACAAATAAGATGTGTAAACACGATCCATAATAATTGATAGGGGGGTATTTATTTGAGGAGGACACGAAAGTCTCGATGCGGCCTAATTACTCAAAAATGTAGAGCAGTAGAGGAAAAGCAAAGTCCCAGAGATATTGAATATCAACCTTGTTTTTCACTTTGATCATGACAAGTGTTAAGATCAAATGCAAGTGTTCAACCTGAAACACATATCTCCTGTTCTAGAATCGGAGAGAGCGAAAAAATTGAAAATTACGATCAGGTATGACCTTGAACAACTCTGAATTTGATCTGAAGGTCGTTTGAAGGTCAAACATTTATTTGAGGAGGACCTGAAAGTCTCGATGCGGTTCAATGACTCGAAAATGTAGAGCAGTAGAGGAAAAACAAAATCCCAGAGATATTTGTTTGAAGGTGATTGACAATGTTTCATGATGAATTTCACTAATTCGAACTTCCATTGTCTACTATATAAAATGATTTGAAATCCCTGAAACAACTAAAAAAGAAGTATTGAAAATGAATAGCTGAAAATAACAATTATATTAACCAAAATAAACCTGAAATGAAATAATAGTGAAATAAAATACAAGTAAAAATAGAACAATTGGATAGATAAAAATAAAGAAATGAAAAAAGAAAATAAAAATAAAAAGTGGAGAGATTTCAAGTCACGTTAGTTCACGACGTTTCGATTGTTAGTATTTACAATCGTCTTCGGGTGATGACTGGACTGATTCCTCCGAGAGATGACTATTTATAGGTCGTTCGGGTACTTTCACTTATCCCCGCTTTCCATTTTCCGCTTCACTGGTTCCGTGAGAGATGACCGTTTTGGCAGGAGTTGGCCATTTTTCGCTTGATGATGGGTTTCCATATGTTGCGTATTTCTACGCTGGCTTGGCTGAATACGTTGTTGGACAACATGTATGCGGCTTCCTTGAATTTTCTCCTAAACCAATGTTCCTCTCTGTGCAAGATCTCAGCTTGGGACCTCTCGATGTTGTGTTGATGGGTCCAAACATGGTCTGCTATTCCTGATTTGCTGGTTTCCCCTCGCTGTGTCTGTTTCTTGTGCTCGGCAATGCGAACATTCAATGGCCTCTTAGTTTCACCAATATAGGATTTTCCGCACTCACAGGGTATCCTGTAAATGCAATTCTTGGAATCGCAGTCCGCGTTTGGTGGCCTGGTTTTCGTGAGGCTGCTACGGATAGTGTTACCAGATCTGAAGCAGGTTCTGATGTTGTACTTGGAATCAATTCTTCTTATCCTCTCCGATAATACTCTGATGTAGGGAAGTGCAAGCACTGGTTGTGACGGCTTCTCTTTCTTGCGAGGCTCCTGCTGTCTTCTAGCCAAAGTCTTTTCTACCATCACTTTGGTCATCCAGTTCAAACTATTTGAATGGATACCAATATTTTTGATCCCGGAAACAGGAATGAGCGATATATCGGGTGCGGCCTCAAACATCTACTTCAATCTTTCTATTCCGCAACTTTTCGGGATTAGAGTCTAAATGAATTCACACATGACATTTTCTTCATCTGCTTCATTTCTTTATGGTTTGAGATGATCTGGTTTCATTTTGAAAATTTATACTTACAGACTCGATAATGATTTTTTTCGCTATTTCATTTTTTAGTATCAAAGATGTGGGTTTCATTCTAGAAAGTTTTTTGAATTGGAAATAATTGGAACTTCAACTAGCGTTTTCCTTGCCATTTAGTATGTTTAATTTTCAAATGACCTTAAATCAAATCAATCAAATCAAAATATACTTTATTGTCCAAGAATAACAATTCTCATGACAAAGCATACAGTCACAATGATAACATCACAAATATACAGTTAGCAAGGAGATCATAAATACACATAAATTGACACTTACAATAAGCGGACATAATTGCATATACAAAAGCAACAAGACTACTAAGCCACTAAGCCAAATAACATTGAACAACAAAACTACTATGTGCCAGAGATTCACACTAGAGTAATTCAAGGTTAAATCGGGTCGTACTTTTCCCGCTTTTTTTTTCTCCTGATAAAATCCCAGATCGATTCCAATACCACCATCAGATAGAAAGGAAAAAATCCTCAGCTCTTGACACTTTTCCTTTAACTACTTCTCTTTTCCGGATAACTGAGCCATATCGGTACTCTTGGATTGTCCGGTGTCGTGCGAATTTTTATCGCTTCTCAACACTTCAGCAATTGAAAACTTTTGCTTACATATTCATAATGTATCATCGTGAATAAGCTACATTTCTTTATTTTGACATATTTTTGACTTTCAGGTAGCAGCGTGGCATCTTGTGATCATGCCAGTATCGCAAGAAATGGAACGACTTTCTCTGGTAGAAGTATGAAGTGAGTTAGAGTCATTTATTTAATACTTTTTTCATCATATAATATCTGTGATTGAGTTTTTTCTGAAGCTTCTAGATCTACCTCCTCTCCACATTTTTCTGGAGAGAGGTTATAGATGGACTGCATGTAGACTTGTGCACATTGCCAATTGCACAAACCAATTCAATGCAGTGTGCAACAGACTGTTGCTTGACATTGGAAGCATTCTGTAAATGACCTCTGACTTTATGCCTCCAACTGTCAACTACGAAGTGCTGTATAAAGTACTCTTCCCGAGTAGATAGGATTGGATCCTCCGGGAGAAGGAAATATTAAGAGCAGATAATTGTTGTTTCACAGATGGATCAAAAACACCTTCCGGTTCTGGTGCAGGTGTTGTGAGTTGCAGACCCAGGACGGAGATATCAACCTGCCTAGGAATATATACGACTGTTTTTCAAGTGGAAATTTACGCTATTGAATTGTGTGCGGAGAGATTGGAAAAATCCAACCTCATATACAAGTCAATAGAAATATTTTTGGACACTTGAGCGGGGTTGGAAACTCATGGCAACCGAGCAACGTCTAAATTGGTAGCAAATTGCCAAAATGACTTTCCTCGATTGGAAGACTTAACAGATTGTCTCTGGTCTGGATTCCTGGCCATACTGGCCTGGAAGGCAATGAGGCTGCCGACTCCTTTGCAAAGGAGGGTGCTGCAAGCAGCTTCATCGGACCAAAACATGTTATTGGCATCGCTTTAGGCTTTGCCAAACAAAAATTGAACACCTGGATGGCAAGAAGATTTATGGACTTCTGGCAGAATCTTCCAGCATTGGCTCACTTCAAGGCGTTTATTCACCCTTCGAAGATTGATACCAATGATTCGAGTGAGTGAACAAAGCACCCAAAGCATGGGTGCTTTGTTCACTCACTCGAATTGACTGCCGTGTTGGTCGGTGGTTCAAGCCCTAGTCTGAACGATCGATCTTCACTTGCTATCGTCCAACCCGTGTTAGGAATCACACGTTAAAAGGTAAGACCTCGTTAATCCTTAGCTCGCACAAGTTTCGACTTCTGAGGGTTGTCGTTCGTAGGGGTGCGACAGCTGGTTAACGGAAAAACAGATTTTAAAACAGATTTTAAACATTTGTTGGCCTACAGTAGGGAAGAACTACGATGTGTAATAGGCCTTCTTACAGGTCACTGTCATTTGAATCATCATATGCAAAGACTCGGACTGTCGGAAGACAGTGTGTGTCGCCTCTGTTTGGAAAAAGATGAAACAGCAGAGCATATACTTTGTGCCTACACCGCTGGTTACCCAATCAGGTTTTTAGAGTTCGGCAGAGCCGTTGTCTATGGTTATTTACCTTCAGTTCCTGACTGTTGAATTTTGTACGGATGCAGGCCCAAGTCACGACGCAAAATTCGTCAAGTTGTGGTCTGCGAAACACCGAATTCTTGTGAGCGGCGAAAAATCGACTGCCTCGGATTCTCATGCACACTCTCACAGATAGCGGCGATGTTTTCGGCAGATCTCGCGTTTTGTTGGCGTATGGGTGTTGGTCGATCGTTTATTGAACCAGTGGACTCAAATGTATCCACTACATTGCGAATAGTCATCTCGGTAGGACGATAATAATAATAATGATAATGGGGAGTGGTCATTGGTTGATAATGCTGGCGCGCCCTCCCGAATGTATCGGGGCTTCGGGGATAGGGCCTGACCAGCTCACACTACGGTGAAAAAAAAATGATAATAATAATAATATTTATTTCACTTGTTGAACAGTATGAAATCATTACAATAAACATTTACATACAGTAACAAGGAAGACGTCCATGTATAACTAAAAACAAACATATATAGAAATATAAAACAACAAAACATGACAGATACTAAACTATACGTAAATAACAATTTTTTTTTCATCGAGAGTAACTATTAAAACTCGTCAACGGTGTAGCAGTTTCTTTCAATGAGATTGAAATGCAGATGTTCATTGAGTCCTTAATAGATTATGGCGACACCCATTTTAATGAATCAATTTTATTATTTGTACGTGTTGTCGAATGCTATATCCGTCCGTGGTGATTCGTCAAAGCAGACTGAATGAATGACAACTAATTTGGCAATTGTAGCTTCAACAAGATGGCCGTTATCAATAGTCAAATTTCAGAAGTCCCTGTTGGGACTTCTGAACCTATACGATTTTTAATAAAGAATAGTAGTTGATAAAATTTCAATTAAAAACTCAAGTCACTGATAAACAAAAGACTTTAATTATACTTCATAATTATCTCTTTTATTTCACTTGTTCACTGTCGCTTGTAACCTCGTCGCTTGTCCGATCAAAATGACTCGCGTTCTAACCTTATCTCAGGAAAAATGTCTATCTTAATTCACCTCTTTACCTCGACGACCTCAAGCCTGTCATTTCTCTGCTTCGCTCTGACCTAAAACATCCTGCTCTTCCTCTGCAGTTATTATATGATTTTGTGGTATCATTATTTTTTTGTAATCAACTGTCATTTTCTTCATCCTCGTGTATTATGTCGTCTGAGTTTAGTACTTCTGGTTCATCTTCATCTGGTTCAAAGCTTTCTGGAACGTCAAGCAGTTCGGGTGGCAACGGATCTCCTTCAATCCAATAAAACTTAATTTCACCATTCTCCAACTTCCACCCATGTCCTACTGGAGTTGGTGTGTCCCACTACCTGATGGTGTTTCTTCATTCAAGTCAAAGTTATCTCAACACAGGTGTGACACAATGTTACCTATTGTAGATGTGTTTGAAGGAAGAACTTGGTCACTGAACTTGATTTTTTTGCAAATAGCTGTCTCTAACTCTAGTAAGTGCGAGTATGACACACAATGACTAAATCTATTTATCAAAGTTACAAGAGCTGAACTTCCTGTAAGGTGCCTTATGGTCATTCCTAAACTACAATGCTTGGACATTTACCATTTACCATTAGTAATGCTACAGCACAAATCTTGGGCAAAGGAATTCGCTGTGCGTTTAATTTTATCATGTGCAGTTTTCAGTGGTTTTCCGCTTGTCACATTCGAAAGAAATTCACAGAGTATATCAGGAGCTTTAGTTTCATCTGACGCCAAAAAGGCGTAGTTTCAGGTGTAGTTTCTGAAAAAGTATATGCTATAGTTTGCCGCAGTAGCGCCTCTTTACCGTAATTCCATTTTGCCGTAATACTTTCACAATTTATCGAGAATTTGTATGAGTTTGTTGACTTTCTCCCTCAATGTTGCTACTTTGGGCAAGTTTCCCATCTCAACTGCGTTTGATTCGTCCGGAAGCAGTTTTGCAGTCTTAAACTCTAGTAACTCAATATCAAGTCTAGCCGAAAATACTTAAATCATCAAGATTATTCCTCTAGTTTACTTTGCTTGTTTACGCTGCCTCATTTTCCATACTGAACTGATATGAACTACTCCATACTTTAACTCTAAGTTCACTTTACAGATATGTTTTCCACTGCAATCAGCATGCGGGGGCTACAGGAGAGGATTACCTGACCCCCACCCAGAGGGCGCAGCGACAAGTGAAAAAGCTCAAATACCTTCTGCTCCAGGCCAAAAAAGACTTGGAGGAGAAAGATAGCGACATACTGAAGCTTACCAAAGAAGTAGTGGAACTGAGGCTGTACAAAGCAGCTCTAAGTTCGCCCGAAGACAAATCAAATTCTAGGTGGGTTGAACGGAAAAAACTTTCCTGCGATCAATTAATTTCGTTTGCCCTTTCAGTGATGCTGTGACTGTGAGAGAGAACACGAGTGAAGAGACTACCCCTGAGGAATCTGCAGATAACGTAGTTAGAATAAATAGAAACGAATTCAATAGTTCTTACGCTGATTCCGGCCATTTTGATGATTTCACAGGATCGTCCGTTCATTCTAAAGAGTCCATGTTTGATGAGAATAAATCAGTAAGTAAACCCTCCTGAAAGATTCGTATAAAAGAGGCTGGCGCAACCAAAATTCTACTACTTTTTAAAACTTCAATATTGATACTATGTGAAGAACAACAGATCGGGTTACGAACCAGATTTACAATTCATTAAGTGGTAAAAAATCATGTCTTCGCATCTTCGTCCACCTGGCGAAAGTATTCAATATTTGAGCCACGAAAAGCTGCTAGTCATATTGGTAAAACTAGGTGTTTGAAGAATTCTGTTAGAACTGACGAAGCTACCTTATCAGAAGCAGTGAGTTCCAAGAAGATAATCGAGTTTGGTGTTCCCAAGGTATGGTATTGGTCCCGATCGTGTTCAACATTCATATCAACGATCTATTCCGTGTAAAGGTAATATTTATAAGCTTCATTTCATCAGTTCGGACTTCCATTGTCTAATATAATATAAATTAATTTGATAACCCTGAAAAAATCAAAAAGATTAACCGAAAATAACAATTTTATTAAACAAAAAACTGAAATTACAAAGAAATAACATACAAGCAACAAGCAAACAAATAAAAATTGAAATATTACTAAAAGCTGAAAAAATTGAAGAATTAAAAATATTATTAACAAAAACCAGTGCAAGGTAAAACATCATCTTTTGTGAAAAATTCAAGGCATTTCGTTGAACTACTAAGGGAAATCGAAGTCAAACAGCAGGATCAACTGATCAGTTTCGACGTGGAAAACCTCTACACCAACGTTCCTGTCGAAGAAGTACTTCAAATCATACAGAGGAAGCTATCCGAAGCCGGGGACCTGAAATATAGAACAAACTTACCGATACTGTTTTGCTTTAGTTTCAGTGTTCTGACTGGCGATTTTATCGTTTTTTTTTAATATGTGTGTATTCATTTTTTAATTAGCATTTTATATATCTATATGTACCTATACCTTTGTATATGCAAATATTAATTTTTATCTAAGCTTTGATTCCATAATTTTATTCATGAGTGACGTACTTTTTTTTGTAAATAATCATTGACCTACCATATATACACTATGTATCACAAATGGTGAATAAATATTATTATTATTATTATTAATCATGGAATCACTAGGATGCTGTGTACGAAACTGCTACTTCAAACTAAAGGACGAATTCTTTACGCAAGATAAGGGACTGCCAATGGGATCGCCACTTTCACCTGTTATAGCCAATTAATATATGGAGTGGTTTGAAACTTTGGTCATTGAAGAATCCCCCAAGAAGCCCCGAGTCTGGTTGAGATACCTAGATGACACCTTCATAATATGGAACCATGGGAATGCAGAACTAGACACTTTCCTGAAGCACATAAACAACGTAAGGTCTTTCATCACTTCCACAATGGAGAAGGGAATCCAGAACGAATTGCCTTTCTTAGATGTATTGGTGAAGAGGACCGACACTAAATGGGAAACATCTGTATATCGAAAGCCCACTCACACAGTACAGTATCTGAACCAGAAATCCAACCACCATCAATCGACTAAGAGAGGAATCATCAAGACTCTACTGGACCGTGCTTTTGGGCTCTGTAATACAAAGGAAGGTCTCGAAAAGGAACTAGGCATCATCAAAAATGACCTTCAACGGAATGGTTACTCCAAAGTGCTGGTAGAACAGGCCTTAGCTAGAAGACAGCAAAAACTCCACATGGAAGAGAAGCCGCCACAACCAGTACTTGTACTTCCTTACATCAGAGGATTATTAGAAAGGATAGCACGGATTGAGTCCAAGTATAACATCAGGACCTGCTTCAGATCTGGGAACACTATCCGTAGCAGCCTCACGAAAACCAGGCCACCAAATGCGGACTGCGATTCCAAGAATTGCATTTACCGGATACCCTGCGAGTGCGGAGAATCATACATCGGTGAAACTACGAGGCCATTGAAAGTTCGCATTGCTGAGCACAACAAACACACACAGCGCGGAGAAACCAGCAAATCCGGAATAGCAGAGCATGTTTGGACTCATCAACACAACATCAAGTGGGCTCAAGCTGAAATCATCCACAAAAAGGAACACTGGTTTAGGAGAAAATTCAAAGAAGCCGCGTATATGTTGTCCAACAACGCATTCAGTCAAGCTAGCGTAGAAATACGTAACATATGGAAACCTCTAATCAAGATGATTTTTTCAGGGTTATCAAATCAATTTATAATATATAAGACAATGGAAGTCCGAACTGATGAAATACACCACGAAACATTGTCAACCACCTTCAAACAAATTATAAGCTTTGATGACGACCCTGCCCGAATAATCTTGGGTGTTATTTTCGTTAGATTTTTCCAGAAGATCTAGCTCCTTTAGATGATGTTCTTGTTGAGGAACGGAACAAAATATTCGGGGAATGATTGCAAACTTCTTATTCAGATCATGGCAGAATGAATCGAATCTATTCAGAACAAGGAAGAGCAATACCCGGTACAAGGACGAATGTACCTATATTTCTCAGCGTCACCTCGATAATAGACAGGCTGGTCATTTGAAGGTTTCTATCACGAGTAGACGAATGAAGAACTCAGTTATATATAATGGGGTTGAAATGTATAAACAGCTACCTGAAACTTTCACAGAATGTGTCACGTTACAATCTTTCAGGAGAAACTTGAAGGCAATTCTTGTCAAAATAACATGTTATACATCAAATGAATTTTTCGAGGATAACTTTACACACATAATGTACATATACATTTTTTCTTTGTAGTGTGTTTTATTCATGTTGTCTATAGGGTTGTAATACCCGACCATATATGTGTATTCTATACATATATGGTTTTATCTATTATTATTATCAATTTAGCAGCGGATGTCACCAGATGCAGATTTCTCCGCATCAAATTTTGAATATTAAGGCAGGTCCGAAGAAGCTGTAGAGTTCGTACCGAACACACGAGGGCCGGTCTTTTGGAAACCTAACTACATCGTGTACCTCGTTTAGATGGTTTTCCTTTTAAGTTCCACTCCAGAACGAGGCAGGAGACTAACTTAAGGCTAAAGGCCTTTCAACTATCCTGAAATGGTGCGGGACTTACTCAAGTAGTGAGCCATTAAAAGCAACAAGAAGCTTCAGATTAGGCTTATATTACAAAAGAAATAACTGTGTAAAAATATAACATGAAAGTCCCACAAAACAATAAGAAAAAATGTTCGAAAAGTACGATCAAAATTTTACAAGAAAACACGTCTCAAATAGCTGATTGTCAAACAAAAATTATCTCTTTATCGACTTGTGAAATGTTATATATTCTCTCGTAAGGTAAAATTTCAACTTATACGAAAACCTAAATTACTCTACTCGAGCTTTGTGGAAATTCTGAAATGATTATTTGAAATTGCCTGGCTTTAAACCCGTGTGTACTAATTTGCTGATATGAAAGGGGTGTAGTGTAATCTATTGTCCTTCTTTTATCGTCCCCAAGACGCAACAACAATAAGACAATTATTACAACATTAAAATGACATCCTCTCTCTCTATACCGGCATGGGGGTTAGTATAAAAAATCCAAATTGGCTCACGATACACTACTGGGTTCTGTTCTCCCTCTCTGGTATGGTATCCATGTGAAATACACACCCGTTGTGCAACACCACAATTAACTCACTACCCGCAATTTACCGGAATTCCACTATCGCAAAATCCTTTTTCGGACAGTCCCTTGTCGCGACCTTCTTCCGCAACTGACTTTCGCAACTCCCTTTTTGCGACTCTCTCAAATTAACTCTCGGTCGCAAAAGAATCTTTTCGCAACTGCTCTATCGCAAAATCCCTTTTAACCGACTTCTTCAGTCGTCCTATCGCCACCGTCCCAATTAACACTCCTCCCTTTTACCGTCCCCTGATTGGTCTGTCCTTTGTTTAATATTCCCGAATTTTTCCATAACCCTTTCTACTCAAGACTTGAATCTTCTTTTCATTGAAGTCATTGGTCAGTTTTTATTTTAAATACATTTTCAGACCCACCTATTCAGATATGGCCGAACTTCCTGTCCACGAAGCTGAAATGCAAACTCAGCTTGCATTTTTTGCGTTCCCAGTATTATAACTTTCCAACAGGATATGTTTGTTCAGTCTGCTTTGAAAGGAGACATAATCTTCGTGATGCCGTCAAAGATCACCAACCGGTGATCGGGGTCGGGTAACCGACCCCGATCTTTATGAATAAATGATACTTTTCGTTAACTATCACAATGGCAGTTATTACATGGTCTTTCGTCAAGCGCTTCCCATCTTTAAATTCAAATAAAACAAAGTGTTGTGGTCTGCTAAAGGCCGAGTTCTTGTGAGTGACGCGAAATTGACTGCCTGGGATCCTCCTGCACACTCTCACACAGAGAGATGTTTTTGGCAGATCTTGCGTTTCGTCTACGTACGGGTGTTGGTCGGTCGTTTACTGAACCGGTGCCAGTGGACTCAAATTTATCCACCACATTGCGAATAGTCTTCTGGGTAGGACATGATTGAAAACCCACATCGTAAAAGGGAATTTACTTAACAGGTCAGTCAAAAGGTTGAAACCACTCTAGTGCTGGTAAAATCCAGAGGACATCTTGAAAATAGCATAAAAACATTTACCTATTACTATTAAAATAATTTGGCATCTAAACACCAACAATTCACTCTATAAAATGAAAAAATCTATGCTATCATACTCTCACAATGAAGTTATGAAGCTTTAAAATTTTGGTTGTGCTAGTTTTTTCGGACTTCAGTGTCCCATAGCCCATGGACTATTGGATATTGAAGCCCATAGACTATTAACTTCTATATTCTTGCAGCCTTTTGGATTTCACAATGTGGAGACTATCAATAAGGCAACTTCAACTGACTCTGACGCGACAGAATACGAAGCAGAACGAAATAAATTGATAGACGAGTACGAAAAAAGGATTCAAGAGCTAGTTAAGACTCACGAGGAGGAGTCTCTGCAGATGAAGCAAAAACAAAACGATAAAATAGAGGAACTGCTACAGAGGATCACGGAAATCAACACTAGGTATGTGTGGATGGTACAAAATCGACTGAGAATTCTGTATTATCTTTAAGTTTTGTTAGTTTTTTGAGAAAAGTTATCTCAGATGAATTTCATACTACCTCATTTTCTTCGTATATACATTATTACAAAGTTCAATTTGTGTGAAGGTACTGGCAGCTGGTTCCAGAACTGGAAACGGCCAAGGAGAGAATCAAAGAACTGGAACAGCAGTTGGAAGAAGCCAGCAAAAAGTTGGAAGAGCAAGGAGAAAGTTCGCGTGGAAAGTCCCAATCAGCTGAGGAAGCTGATGAAGTAGACAGAACGAATAAGGTAGGTAGTTGGTCTAAAGCTAAACAATTTGCTAAGTGATTTCCAATTTAAAAAAAGATGCACCTATTTGTAGTGATAAAAATTTATATAATCCCAGATAGCACATTGTTTCAACATCCATTTGTTCATCAGGAGTTCTCGAAAATAATCCATTATGTCCACAGGATATTTTAATAGAGCCCCTTATAGTAGAGTCCTTGAAGGATATACTGCGCTACTAATGGACCCCTCACCGAAAATGACGTCAGTCTTTTCCCTGGATATGTTTTGTTGATAGCCAGATCTCAAGGTTATCCCAATTTCATTGCGGTTTACTATTTTAGACCATCCCACGTGATTAAGGTGTTACATCCTCGGGATTCCCCGTGTACTCCTTCGGATATGTTATTCCCAAATTGCCATCGAAGTATCTCGAAATTGTCATAGGAAGACTATATCATTTTGTGATGTGAAAATTATTTTTAAAAAACTCATCTTGTATTGCAAATTACAAGTAGTTTCGTGAAAAACTGGTTTAAATTTGAAACAATCTTCAGAACAAAGTCCATTGAGTTCCAAACTCAAAATGAATCCGATCTCCGATCAGTTAGTTCCTAGCAAGTGAAAGTTCGATTGTCGTTGGTTGTCATCGGTTGCAAGTCAATGCGATTTGTATCTGATAACAACCGAAAACCGAATTCCAAAGATGTCTACTAGTTAACGACATACGAGTTATGATATACTCGTTTGTTATGTAATTATTTTTCTGATATGAAGAGAAATGTACCAGTTTCGCATCTCATGTGTCATGTATCAATCATGATCAATAGAACTTGAATAATTATCTGTTATATCCTGAATCCTGACAATGATGTTTCACTCTATCAATTTATGTTAAATAACCAGAAATCAAACTTTAGAAAATTACCCAAATATATGTTCAATATATAAGACATATTAAAATTCATTCCAAACTGTTTCAAATCAGCAGCCATTTTAAAGAAACGAATGAGTACGGTATGATTGATAGTATGATTGAAGGATGGATGAATGACATGGAACACTGAATACACCACAACACAACAAGAGCGATTGTACTGCGCTAGAGAACAATATTCATGACGTTTTGCGAAAGATCTATGTGGTACGTTCAAAAAATAAGGGAATGTTCAAAGTTAAAATTTCGTGGACTAGGTAAATTCGATTTGCGATTTTTATATTTTTTATATTGGTACATTCGTCAGGAACATCTGTTCACAGTTTCATCTGTTTAGCATATTTAGTTTGTTGGTGGGAGGCATAGAAGTTAGAAGTGTTTCGCGTCTTCGACGTTTTACTGCAGAATTTGCATCAGATTTTGTATAAAAAATGGAATTGGGTGCTAAAAAACACTTGAAATGTTGACAGTGGCGTCCGGTGATTGTACTCTAAGTCAGAAAAATGATCACAAGTGGTACAATGTTTTCGCAGAAGATTGAGAAAATGTGAATGACGACTCTCGCCCTGAACGCCCTGCATATCAACAACCGATAAAAATGTTGAGAAAGTGAAGAAAATTGTTATGAGGAATCGTCGAATCACTATTGAAGAAGTTGTTGAGAATGTCGGCTTATCGATTGACCCATGCCTTGCAATTTTTTCGTAAATTTTGGGTATGAAGCGTGTGACTTCGAAGTACGTTCCAAAATTTCTGAATTTTGACCAAAAAAATCGTCGCATGGGCCTCGCTCAGGAATCGTTGAATGACGTTAAAAGCGATCTAGATTTGCTTGAAATAGTCATAACTGGTGAAGATTCATGGGTATATGGTAAAGGCATCGAAATCAAAGATCAATCGTCCCAATGGAAGAACCCAGGTGAACGAGGACCAAAAAAGCACGCCGAGTTCCATCAAATGTCAAGGTTTTGCTCATTGTTTTCTTCGATTGCCGTGGCGTAGTGCATCTGTAGTTCTTGCCACATGAATGTATCTTGAAGTTATGCTACGCTTGCGAGAAGCAATACGAGAAAAACAACGCCGTGATCATGCCTCAGCCACCAGATTTGCCTTTTTTTTCTGTTACCAAGATTGAAGAGATCCATGGATGGATAGCGTTTTGCTATCTATTGAGAAAATGAAAACTGAATCGCTGAGAGTCTCAAGGACATACCAAAAACTGAATATCAAACTGCATCGAGGACTGAAAAAAACGCAGGCCCAAGTTTACTATATTTGAGGGGAACAAAACGGAAATTGATGAATATATAAATATGTTTTGTCAAAAATTTAAATTCACCTTATTTTTTCAACAGACCTCGTATATAGACATGGCAAAACAAACAAGCTAGAGGGGACTCGGGTTCTCTTTGAAAAATGGGGTTTCTGTTCTCTACCGACCCAAACATGGCATCTTTGTAAGGAAGACGTCGTCTGCTTTCTTAAAAAAACTCCCCAGTTTTATTGAGAAGTACTGTTTCAAAAAGAAACTGAAAGAAGAAACCTACAGGCCAATATCCAGTCATCTAAATGTAGAAGTACAAAACGTGTAAAATTAAACATTTTTTTACTGAACAAAATAGATTTCGCTTAACTGAACCGTTTTGCCAGTCACAACGTATTTTGTTACCTGAAGCGAATAAGAATAATAATAATAAATAGTGATGTTTTCAAATCTGTACATCTTTTTATACAAAAATCGAGCTTGTACCATTGTACGCCACATATATTCATTCTTTGTGAATTGTGTTCACTAACTAACAATATTTTTTATAAATATTGCAGGCTGTATCATTGGTGAATCGGATTCCCAATAGAATATCTGTTCCAGAGTTACTTCAAGAGCTGCAAGTTACCAAAAACGAACTAGAAAATATAAGAGTAAGTTATTTTGTCCACCATATTCTCTGGGTTTCAATACAAAAAAAAGTAAGCAGATCATAACACATTTACTTCAAATGAATTGAGACAAAAGTATAATGACTATTACTACATTGAAGAAATTCAAATGTAGAATATCGCGAAATAATTTCCTGCAACCATTTTGTTTTTGTTGGGATCAGCAGATGGCGCTCTATTTCTAGTCAAGAGAGGTATACCTAATGTGATTTAGATTATCTCCTGATGAAACCTGTTTGGTTGATGAAACGCGTATCAAGAACGTGTTATATAGTTTTGTTTTGAGGGGAAACTCTGTTGGATTAGATCTATGCCAGAAGTTTCAATTATACTTTAAAGTAAACTGAACGAATAGGAATCAGTTGCATTTAAAAAAATGAATATTTTTAATGTTCCAAACACCTGTGATTACTAACAAGACTATTTCTAGTAGAACTTATTTAGTAAAACGATAAATGAAATAGATCGGATAATACTGACATAATATGCACTAAACACCTACTTGTCTGACAATTTCTGCTTATTTAAAAAATGTATTTTCCAAGAAACTATAACTTTACTAACAATTTCGGTATTCGGAAAGACCACCATAGATAATATAATATATATATTTTCAATATTATAACTGTGAAATTGCAAATCTGTAAATCATGAAATTAAGCAAGGGGCATTTGATGTGTGTTTCGGTTTCCTGTACGAACATCCTACTTCTGATTATGATGCGTACTGGACATAGCCAGCAAACATTTGTTACCGATGCCTCTGTATCCTCGTTTAGTCCAAATATTTTATGATTTTTCCAGGACGTAGAATACGCCACAACTTCTAATAATTCCCAGCCCCTGCTTAGTGCAAAAGAAGCACTCTCCCTTTGGGTACTCGGTGCTAGAAAGGTAACGATTACAAATAAATTTAGGGCGCACCTATTCTGTTGTTCTTGCACATATTCTTTCAGTAGTTTAAAAAAACGTAGCCGCTTCAATGTAGAATAGTGGTGATCCTGATCCTGAAGAATGGTTGTTAATGAAACATGGACCACAATTTTTGTGTCATAAAAATTTGAATTTGGATAAATTGATGGATGTAGCCGTTACTAACGTGGTATGAAATCATAATGAAGAAAAGAGAAATGAAACTTTCTAGGTTTTTTACCACTTTTATTTATGAAAATGTCCGTAACGAAACTGCAGTGACGTTAGTTACAAATAAAAGTGGTAAAAACATACAAAGTTTCATTTCTCTTTTCTTCATTTGGATTTGTATCAATCGCCAACTAAAGGAACAACTCACTCAAAAGTTCTATAGTCACAAGACTGGTGAAGTAAATTAGGATAGAGTTTTTATCGTCTCTTTTATTCCTTCATTATTCTTTTGGTTGAATTTGTATTTTGGGATGAAGAATTTGTTGCTGAATCAAAAAGGTATATGTGACGATGTTTCGTTGATGATGTAATTTTCAACTATTAAATGTTAACTTCCTCATTATAAACTGAGGTGAAAGTTCTCATGTAGAATGAATACAGCTCAAAAAAAATACAGATAACACTAACCACTAATCAAAACCGAAACCTTGGAAACAAAACGTATACGACGAGTTTAATTCCTAGCTCTCCATCTTCTTCACTAGCTTTTCCTCGTGCTTTATCAACAAACTGGCCGCTGCAAATATTATTGGTGGATTTATTTAGATTGCTTGGCATGTAAACAGTATTAACAAAATTTGATGCATGTACTTAATGTTATTTTAGAGTTTCTTTTCAACTTCCTATCTTTTACTGTCTTAACAAGTTTCAGGCCCGCAAAAGCAGTTGAAGATAAATCGTTGTAAATATTGCATGTTGGCATTATCTATAATCATCTAAACTCTAAAACCTTTAGCCATAAATCAAATTTTCAAAAGAAAATTAAACAATGCTCGTTATCATAACATTCAGTTCTCTTTTTTACTGAACATTCGTTCATAGTTTTATATGCAAAATCATATGAAGTAACAATGAAATCGAGGTCATGTTGTTAGAAAAGTCGAAATGTTCAAATTTATTGTACCCTATTTCAAAAAATGGCATACTACTCTCATTGCAATTGTTTTTGTTTCAGGCAATGTATAGGCAGTTGATGGAAGCCAAAAGCAAAAACAAGATTGATCCAGAAATAACCTTGCAGTTCCTAAAATCGGCAGTATATTATTTTTTGACCGATAAGGAGAACAGTCTAGGCCACCTTAAAGCCATTCAAAGTATACTCGGATTCTCTTCAAATGAAATTTCGAATATAGAAAAAGCTAGATTAACTTGAAAAATTTTATTGAATAGTGCCTATATATATTTACTTTATGAGACTTTATGATAATTGAATTAAAACGTTATTTAAACCAAATCTGGTGTTTCTACATTTTTTTATTTCAAAATCAATTAAGACCATATTGATAATAAAAATCTTCCAGGTGGGTATAGACCAATTGATTAACTATTGAAATAAATATATTATTGAAATAAATATATGGATAGAAGATTTGAGCGGTGCATGAAAACCAACATTTTTCCTTTTAGAAAATGTTTACATCTTAAATGACGATGACTAAGGCTTGCACAAACAACAATTAATAAGTGACAAAATTGCACAGTCCTGACTAATGCAGACGAGAAAAACAAATAGTCTCGATCTGATATGATAATGTTGGTTTACACAGTTCCACAGACTGGCTGGCAGCTTTGGCTGCTTTCAAAAAGTCTCTTGATTTTCACTTTTTGACAACATTTTCATTTGAAAAACTTTGTGTGATATAAGGTTGCACTTATAGTTTGATAGATAGAATTTGGAACCTCTGACGTAAAAGGAATCTGATGAGAAAACTGTTTCCATATCAGAACAAGACTAAAACTAATTTTAGTCTGAGAAATCAGAACTAAAGCACTGTTTCTCAAGTTAGTTCTTCCAGTAAATTCATTAATGATGCTTAAATATTTTGCGACAGATAAATAACCTCTGAACACATAGTGAGTGCCTTCTCAAAAATAGTTATTGGAAACCCAGTATAATCTAACTTATTTACTGACAAAATATACTGGCTTGTTACTATAGAAGCGATATCTGAATGTAACGATAAAAAAGAAGACGAAAAGAAGCTAACCTAATAAATTGCCCTGAGAGAAAGGGTTGTTGTTTTGGAGTAAAAATTCGATCAAAAATCGCTACAGTCCCCTGACATAATACGTTTACATGTGAATTAAGATTGAATAAAGTGTTTTAGATATATTGCTTAACTCAACTACGAATGTTTAATTGATAAATTCAATAGCCATACAACTGAAGAATGTCAGTTGCCAATAATATTGTCAACGATAATGGTAATTGATTTTTTTCAGTGGTCTCGCAAATATTCAATCCGAATATTTTAGGTGAACAGTTCATTCCAGCATCTCAAAGACCTGACGGTACATGGCGAAAAGCGAGAAGAGTAAAGGAAGGTTATGTCCCCCAGGAAGAAGTGCCATTATATGAAAGTAAAGGAAAACAATTCGTTAGCAGAAAGCAAGAACCAGTGGTATTGCCTTCTGGAAAGGTAGCGCAGAGACCTATACCAGGCCTACTCATAGTTCAGGATGATACAGAAAAGAAGCCGACTAAAAAGAAAGGCAAAAAAAGTAAGAAATAGATATATAAAAATAGTCTTTAATATAGCTTGATCTCTTTAATGAGACACCGAGGCTTGATAGTGGTTCCTTCATATAGCTTGTAGCATTTGGTTTCCCTTTCCCGTATCTCCCATGCCTTAGCATTCACTTAAAACATGTAATGCAGTTTTTTCTTCCTCATGGCAGAACCTGCATGGGAGTTTCTTTCACCAGGCCCATAATGCTTATATGTTTTATAAGCCATAATGTTCCATTAGTAGAACTACCATTATCCTCTTAACCTCGTGGTTGTGGTTTAGCAGGTATTGTGTTAATTTGGATGGGGGTTACTTCATGAACTTTTTTCCTGCCCAATTCCTGGAAACTTGCTTCACCAACTTAGCAAATTGGATTGCCTCTAAAAATTGATAGGTGTTTTTATACTTGTCTTTATCTACCATGGCCTGGATGCACCTTTATGTGCTAAAGCATTGGCCTCCTTCCTGATTGTGCTTGTGTTCTTAATGTCCAGATATCTAGGCTAGAGTAACCCTATTATGGTACTCTAGTTCATGGAGTGCTCTAAGACAGCTCCCTACAAGCGCTGTTTGGTGTTCAATCATAAATGCGTTTTGTTTGGACTCTAATTTTAAATTAACCTTTATGTTTTGTTATTGTAGAAATTGATGATGTAACGAATTCAATGGACAAAATAAAACTTGTGGAAAAGTCGGCAGAGGTGAAAGCTAATAAAGGAGATAAATTGACTCAAGAATCACGAGATAGCAAAAAAAATGTTGAAACCACTGACCCTCAAAAAAAACTGAAGAATTTAAAGAAAAGGTTGAGGGAAGTTGAAGCACTCGAAGAAAAAGTTTCAAACGGAACACTTGCAAAGCCTGAACCAGAGCAATTAGCGAAGATCAAGAGAAAAAATGATTTACTCATGCAAATTTATGAATTAGAGAAGCAACTTCAGTGATTAATTTAGTTGGTATGTTTTTTAATTGTTGTTATAGGTTTATAATAATCGTTTTGTGAATTGTAACTTGATGTGTCAAATAAATGATTTCATTTATAAAACTTGCCAGTTATTTCAAGTTTAAAAAATTATTGACCTGATTTTTGGGAATGAGAAGAAGGAAATTCAAAAAATATCAGTATAAAATATAATGATCTATTGGAAACTAGGTTTTAGTCCCCCAGTTAATAATAATAATATCATTTCTACCATACATTCTTTCTGTCTCCTACTATTGCATATGAAATTCAGGATTATATTATGAAAATCACCAAGAAAATCACCAAGAAATTTCTGGATAACCGCTGAGATTTGTCAGAGAACATATATAAAAGAGCCCCTAATACAATTAATCAATGAAACATTTGTTACAGGTCAATACCCAACAAATCTGAATACTTCAAAATCAGTACCGATATGTTAAAATCCAAATATGTCGTTAATAATTATACAAACATCTGCTTACAAAGTCAGCTATCAAAAGTTCTCGACTTTGCTATCAATTGCCGACTCAACAAATTTCTAGAACACCATAATTCATTGTTGAACTATCAACTCGGATTTAGGCAAAATAAATCAACAGCAGCAGCAGAACTCTGTACTATAACATAACTATTTGAACAGAACACAATAGCTTTATACTTCGAATAGGGGTTCGAGGTGTTGATAATGATTGGATTACAGAAAAAATTTAAAAGAGAGAAACCAGTATCAAATAATGATAAATCAAAAGAAAAAAATTAATATGGGTATCCCACAGGGTTTTATAATGGTCCCAGTACTCTTCATCATCTTTATAAATGATATGGTTAATTCATGTCCAAGTGCGCAAAATATAGTTATGTATGCTGACGATACCAATTTTCTTATCTCAGAAAAAAATATATGTGATATGGTACTCAGAGCCAATACTGTAGCAAATGAATTCTATGACTGTGTACTTACAATGGGCTATTAGTGAATTTGAAAAAAAGTGTTTCATACAGTTTCTAACGAAAAATCTGAATAGGAATTCTAGCTCATTAATAAAAGTAGCATTAATAATAGTAGCATTGAGCAGATTGCTTGCTTTCTGGAAGTTATATTGGATAATAAAATCACATGGAAAAATATAAACGAAATAACCACTAAACTGAGTAAAACCTGTTTTGTAATAAGGCAAATGAAAAATACTCTATCAACTGAAACACGGAAAGTGGAATACTATGGATTGGTTCAATCAAGACTCGGTTAAGGCCTTATGTGGCCAAGCTACCTAAATCAGATATTGGTAATAAAATAAATCATAAGAAGCATGGTTGGAGTCGAGCTTAATACATCTTGTAAATCTATTTTTGGAAGATAGGTATTCCCAGAGTGCATTTACTATATATATTACAAATTACTTTAAATATAAGAACACAAGAAAATTTTACATTCTTAAAAATAGCAGTTTACATAAGTACGATACACATATATAAAGGTATTTGTTACAATAGATTTATAGATTTGTTTAATAGCAAAATTGATCTTTCAGGTCTGAAGATTTTCCCATACAAATATCCAGAGTCCATTGCATTTTAATCATTGGAAGAATTTCTAGAGAAATGAACTAATATGTTGTTGGGTATATTTGTATGGATAAATACTAAATTTACATTATATTTTGTGACGAGTCCAATAAGTTATACATTCTGTACTCTTTATTGTAATAACGAATAAAGTTCTATTCTATAATATTAAGATGTGAGGGTTTATAAACAGTTATAGGTTGTATGTGTCTCTAAAAGTACAATTTTCTAATAAATCATATCTAGAATAAAAACGTACTAGCTGTAGAATCAAGAAAGGATTTGTTGTATTAATAAACTATTAGTTGATTTGGAATTTCTATGAAACAATTTTCACAATATGAATAACAGCATATAATCAGCACAAAATGTATCTAAATTTACTCGGGATGCTATCATATTTGTATAAAGAGGGAGTCCATACACACTTTCTTGAGGAACACCTAATGTTATTATCTATAACATATTTTATATCTATGCGTTATCTGTAAAGCAGCTGAATGTGAATTTCAAGAAACTTATGCGTTATCTGTAAAGCAGCTGAATGTGAATTTCAAGAAACTTCATTAAATTGTTCATGTTCTAACTTTAGACATGGTTTCAATACTTTGTGATATTTAGACTCTGTTTTGTGTTGCTGACTTGAGTTTTTCTTTGAATGTTGAATGAATGAAGCTTCTTCAGGCGTGTCTTTACTTTTCGGAAACTAAATGCATATATTAGAGGAACCATTGGGTTTTGTTTATTTTTTATCAATAGATCTTTATCCATATATTAGAGAAACCATTGGATTTTGATTTTTTTTATCGATAGATCTTTATTTGAAATGGGAATCCTTATACAATTTCACTTGGAAACAATTTAAGCATAAATAAATTACATATATAGTACAATTTTTGTAAAAAGCACATATTTAATTTCATGAAAATACCAATACCAACTCTGAAAATTGGATTTAGTTTTTCAAAAGGAACTATTTCAGAGCTAATATTTTCTACTATATATGATAAATGTTACCAGAAATTATTTATAAAAGACTATTCAAACTGTTATCATTTGAGAACCAATTAGAATTTTGAGTTTGTAGTCTGTCGAAGATGATTTTCTGCCACTATTTGACTTGTCAGTATAGATTATCGTTTTTTGTGGGCAAGTAGATGAAAGTTGGATATCACTCATAAATGATGTAAAGAATAATGGGTTCAATGGAACCCTTTGGTTTTTCAAATATCTGGCAACCCAGTCATTTGCTACTCCTGTAACCAGGAGTAATTCATGGATGACTATATAGAAGGCCCTGGAGAGAACAAAGAATAGGGATGAACTACGTTGTCTAACAGCCCTATTTGCGGTCACTGTCGTTTGAATGAACAGTTAGTAAGTAGTTTGTGCCTTTCCTGCTGCGAACCAAATCAGATTTTCAGTCTGACTCTTGGTCAGCTGACCTCAAAGATCACTCATCAAATGAACCTAACATACTGATTGTTAAAAAAAAGGCACGATTTCGATCCGTCAAAATTTTAATTGACACATTTTACACTGGATACATGTTTTATCTCAACTGTTTGGAACAGCAACTTTTTGTCTAAATCATTATACAATAAAATATAAAAAAATGCAAATGCAATATGACAAAAATATATGACTATAAACTGCATTTTTTAAAATAAAATACTGCAAATCTTATTCATCATAACAATGCACTTAAATCCATAATGTTTCATCTGATAGATCACGTAAATTCTGCCTGACTTTGATATCTCGTTTCATTGAAAAGTTAAGAGAGGGGGACTATTTACTGAATGTAAGGTGAATATTTATGAGAAACAATGCCGTTTGGTTTGATGTTGGAAACATATTTTTCATCGTTTAGATCAGTTCTGTTCAAGCTTTGAAATAGATTTGGATGCCAAGAAACTGCTATGCTTGTTTTTTTTAATCAAATCAAGGGGCCGAAACCCAAGGAGCCAATTCAGAATGAATCTGGGAGGTAATACCTGTACCAGTGACTTTCAGTTTATGTAGTTCTGGTGATGCACCATCGATTAGTTTTCAAAAATAAGTTTTTTTTGTCTTGTTCTTGTTAGTTAGACAAGTGTTGAGGATTATGTTTTGTTTTTGTAATATTATAGTATTATAATGTCTATTGTGTTGAAATGATTTATATTATTCAATTTCCCTACTAGATCAATGAACAATATGTTTCTTTTTATTCATTAAAGATAGCAAAAAATGTCTGGAGGTAACCAAAAAATTTTTTTTGTTCTTGTTAATTAGACAAGTTCTACCATCTGTTGAAATCTGTTTTTCTGTTAACCAGCTCTCCTATGAACGACAACTCTCAAAAGTTGAAACTACTGCGAGACAAGAACTTACGAGGTCTTACCTTTAAACGTGTGATACCTAACATGGGTTGGACAATAGGAAGTAAAAATCAATTGTCCGGCCTTGCGGTTCAAACCACCGGTTGGCACAGCGATCGATTGAATGAGTAGAACAAACTACCCACGTCAAACCACCAGGCTACCGTCCCACCAATGAACAATATATTTCATTCCTTTCACTGGAAATAGTGAAAAACATAATATTGACAATCCAACACAAACATCAATATTTGGATATCTATATCAATATATATCTGATATTTTGATAGTACTACCTCTTTTTTATTAGTTCAAGCATCAAATATAATATATATATTGATAAGCTGCTTTAAAATTGAAGTAGGTAAATACTAAAAATGTAAAGGTAAGACTCAAAGTAAACTCAAATATAAATATCATGATATTATCTAACCCTGGTTATTGGTAAACTCGAACTGGAAAGGTAACAATTCGTTCAACGAGGTTACCAAAACATCTTCATACCCAGGTTTTGTAATATAAACATCAACATTCCCAAACTCGCTCATAAACTGTCGACAAGCTCCACAGGGTGGCGTGAAGCGGTCTTCCTGTTGGGCAACAACAACAACGGCCTGGTACTTGGTCTTTCCTTCGCTCAGCGCTTTAGAGTAAGCACATCTTTCTGCGCATATTCCCACATTGTAACAGGCATTTTCTATATTGCACCCTGTGTAAAGTGTGCCGTCTTCGCAGAGAACACTCGCCCCTACTTTGAATTTGCTATATGGGCAGTATGCGAAAGTCCTTGCTTCGACAGCCTCATGTATCAATTTCTGAATGTTTGCGTCTGAAAGTTAAATGAATACAGAAAAAAATCTGATATTGAGAACATTCAAGTTTGAGAGTTTGGATATGAATCAGACGTTGAACCATAACATATAAGAAGTAACAAGCTTGAATACTGTGATCAAAGAAAGACCAAAGCAGTTTCATAAAAAGTAATAGCAAAACTGTAATTTGATACCAATAATATGAACAGTATGACCACGCCTTAAAGTTGAAAATATATTCTGAGTCAATTGCTTGACTTTCTATTATTTTGCAAATAATTCCAAAAATGATTGACTATGCAAAATATAATTTTTTACATTCTTTACATCAATACGAAAAATGTTTTTCGAAACGTAAAGTTTTATCAATATTGTAGCAAATATAGTTTGTCTCAATTCAATTTTAATTAAAATAGGTACTAATTTTTTACAAATATGTATTAACCTGAAGTATTGTAGAGGGAATATCAAAGTTTCTCCAGTCCAAGTTATGATTATTGTCAAAATAACAGGTTATTTGAATAGTGAATATGCAAATAAATTTTTAAATGAAACCTTGAAATGAAGTGGTTTATTTAATCATAAATGCTAAAAATAGCCTTTATGGACACAATCATCGATGACTATGGCCTTTTTGTGGAATGATGCTCATTGCAATAGATTCCTTAAATGACTGATAATAAAATTATTTCAATACCAACGAGTCCTTTACAAGAAAAAAGGGTATGGGTAGTATTACTCTCTCTAGAGACAAAAAGTTCAAATACATTTGCAGTAACTGTATGTATAAAACTGGAGTATCTGGACGAGTTGAGTTTAGATAAAAATTAAAGAAATTATTGCACAATTTTTAAATTTTTACACATATTTACCTAAATTCTTCTTTTTGATAATATTGCCAGTTACATTCTTAGTACTAGTCATCTTTCAGGTTTGAGCAGGGAAACTACAATATTCTTGAAAAGTCTATAATTACACATCGCCACAATTACTTCATCTTTGCACAAATATTGCGATGCAAGATAACATTCATCGCTAATGCAATGATTTATATTTATTGCAATATTGACATAAAGTAAATTGATCATCATTACTGTGGGAATTTAAAAATAACACTCAAATAATGGCGTTTTTCATTGCTGAAAGCAGTGAACAGTCAGTACAAACCTATCCTTCATTAATGTATTAAGAAATAAATAGAGATTCACTTCTTTTGAACCGGTTATACCAATAAAACCTTATATTTCACCGATGGGTCCATCAATTGCAGCGTTGCCAGAAATTTGAAAAATTAATTGTCAAAAGTCAACGCAAAAAATTTACAGACAAACAAGAGGATACCTAATGTAAAATACTTAAATTCTTCTGTGGCCTAGTTGTAATGTTTTTTATTGTATTATTCATACTAATTTTCATACATAGCCAATGTGAAAGTGAGAGAGAAGTCATTCCAAATAAGCCACTGTGTGAATAGAGCGTAATATTCATTTTACTTTCTATATAATGATTGGAAATAGTGGAAATTTCCATGTATGTAATATATGTCTACGAAATATATTTTCTTCTGTTTTATTGTATTACTTCATTCAGTTATTTAGACATAATACATCTAATATGCCCGAATCCGTGTTACAGGAGTATATAACAGAGTTATATAGAACAATAATTGTATGGCGGCGACTATAAATAGTTCAATTATACCTATCTATATATTTGCAAACATCATAAATTTTAAAAATGAGAAATGAAACTTTCTATGTTTTTTACCACTTTTATTTGTAACTATCGTTGACGTAGTTCCGTCTCATATGGATATTTTCAAACTAATACAATAAAACTCCTAAAAATGTCCATATAAGACGAAACTGCAGTAACAATAGTTATAAATGAAAGTGGTAAAAACATATAAAGTTTCATTTCTCATTTTTAATGATGATTTTCTACCAGGTAGTAACGTCTACATCAATCTATTTATCATAAATTTGGATATATAATGATATAGTCATAGGGTGTGCTGAGTCAACGGGATTGTGAAAATGATGATGTGAATTCAGCACTTCCAAGCGAAACAATAGCTTGGAAAAACAACATTAGTGGTGATGAGTTCGTGTTATTGTTGATTGATTTGTAAGCGAAGATCTAACTAGTTCAAATTCTGCAAGAAAAAAATTATAGTCATTCTGATGTAGGGGTTGAGACCTTCTGTTTCTTGGAATATATACATTTAAGATACTTCAGTGGTATTATGTATTTGGCAAAACTTAGATTCAATACTGAATTAAGGAAAATATCATTATAAATCAGTTTAATTTTGTGCTGTTAACTGTGAGCAATATGGAAAGTGAAAGCAAACGCAGACGTCCGAATTTATCTGAAGGAGAAAAAACTATTATATATAAATAAAGGTAAATGTGGTATTCAGCTTTCTACTGTGACTCAAAATGTTTTCTAGCGACATACGGTCGTCCTACTTTTCTTCTTGTCTCAAACAACTAAATAATGGTATATACGTATTCTACGTAGATGTATTTCTATCTATTACTGAGACGTTAAAGAATGAAGGTCAGATATACACGAAATGCCCACAATTTTTCAATAAAAACGCAACAAGATCAATCTTTTCATTCTACTTTGATCTAATAAAATTATTCAATGAAAACCGTTACCGAGGAGTCAATTTTCTGTTATAAAATTATATAACTTATCTGTGATTTGAAGCAAAACAACAAATGTACATATATTATTTTAGTGCTTTACTATTTTGAATATACTCAACTGAATACTTTCAAATGAATTAGAAAACAATGCCCTTGAGCTTTTGTAACCTTCTATGGGCATGCTAATGAAATCAAAATTCTTTTGGAATAACGTTGAGGCCATTTTTGTCAAAACTTCTGTTTTTGACACACATATGAATAACTTTATGTTTTATATACTGTCTATTTATCTGTCAAGTTCTAAGCACGGAATATCGCAGCTTTCTGTGTAGTAAAATGTCCTATCACGCCATGGAATGTTAAACTCTCGTGTCCAATTTCTATTCTAAAAAAGAGACAGCCTGAGTTGTTTTTTGGATTTTGAAAAAAATTGAAAGATTCCTATTGAACGTTTTTTGTTCAACGAAACGAGATTTTTCAAGCACCAAAATTGATATGCATGACATTCAGCCATCGCCATCTTCTTCTCTACTGTACTTCGGTCACCAAGAAAATTACAAATTCTCAATTTCAAAACGAATATTTTTCAAAAGTTTTTAAATAATGGGTATTTTGAGAAGTATGGCCTTGAACGACAATAAAATTATTTCCTATGGCATGATACTATTTCTTACTATAGCGACATTTTGTGGGCATAAGGTAGAAGAAGGCCATGTTGGGATTTATTATCAGGTAAGTTCAAAATTTAATACCAATCTAAAATAGTTTTCCTCGAATTGAATTTTTCATTTATTGATTCGCGTGTTGCGTTGGTTAAGTTTTGGAACTTTTGTGAAAAAAATCGTACATTCAAGGTTCATTATGTTTTCTATTGTGTAGTACGTATGATAGATTTAGAAATGAATACAGTAATATATCTTGAATGCTCATTTGAAACAGGTTTATTTCTGTTTCAAATGAACATCTTAAGCAAAAACGTCAATTGTACTTTTGGAAAATAATTAATTGCTTTAGACTTCGTAAAGGCATGCTCTCTGAAACAACTTAAAAAAAAACGAAAGTTTTTGCCTTTAAAAATTTGAAACATCTTTTTATATCTGAGCTTTTTGAATTTCGAAGGTACGTTCATGATTTCGACTTGCCTTTTTTATCAATTACATCAATTTGCTTATTCGATAATAAGAATAGGTAATAATCATTTAAAATATTATTTTAGGTTTTATCAAAATCGTGAATCATTTTATTTTCATATTCAGGTATGCTACGGAAACGCAGAAGGGACATATATTTTTTTGATTTGTTTTTTGAAAATTACAAAAAAATTTCAACATTATTCTAGAAATTACTATTTCGAAATTCGTAATTTCGACTTTAAATCAAAACTTAGACTTCAATCTCGGAATTTCCACTTGATTCTAGAAATTTCGACTTCAATCTCGAAATTTCCACTTTAAACTCGACTTATTTAAATTTTAACTTTAATCTCGAAATTTCGACTTCAAACTCAAAACTTCGACTTCAAACTCAAAATTTCGACTTTGAACTCGAAATTTCGACTTCGAACTCAAAATTCCGACTTTATTGTTGAAATTACGACTTCGAAATTCATAATTTCGACTTAAAATCGAAATAATTTCGAAGTCAAACTCGAAATTACGACTTTGACCTCGAAGTTTCGACTTGAATATTGACTTTGAACTCAAAATTTTGACTTCAATCTCGTGATTTCGACTTTAAATCAAAATTTCGAAATTATGACTCCGAACTCGAAGTTTCGACCTAATCTCAACTTTGAACCCGAAATTTTGACTTCAAACTTGAAATTATTATGACTTTGAACTCGAAATTTCGACTTTCAGCTCAAAATTTCGACTTTGAACTCAAAATTTCGACTTTATTTTCCAAATTATGACTTCGAAACTCATAATTCTGACTTTATATCGAAATTTCCACTTTAAAATCGAAAAGATGACTTAGAACTCGAAGTTTCGTCTCAAATCTCGACTTTAAACTTAGAATTTCGACTTTGATCTTGTGATTTCGACTTTATTCTTGAAATTTTGACTTTATTTCTCGAAATTCATACTCAAACCTCGTGATTTCGACTCCAAACTCGAAATTTCGACTCCAAACTCGAAATTACGACTTTGAACTCGAAATTCTGACTCTATTCTCGAAATTTCATCTTTAAACTCAAAATTTTGACTTTAAATTCGAAATAACGTCTTTAAAACTCGAAATTTCGACTTTAAACTTGAAGAAAAAATAATCTTTTGAGTTTCTGTACTTTTCACCTTATCTTTATCAGATCTTGATATTGTGTCCCGCTCATAATTTGAAAGTGGAATTTTTTCCGTCCGCACTGTATTCCAATTGAATGATTTTTTTATAGGGAGGTGTCCTGCAGAGAGAAATTAGCTACCCCGGCTATCAGTTTGGGATACCATTCATTACCACTTTCGAGACAGTTCAGGTAAAGTATCACATCTTTTTTTTACTTTTGGATAAATTCTCATTATAAATGAAAAACACTAACAGAGTATTGATACAAAATGTGCCATGACTTGCAACAGCTGATGTAGGCGGGTTTATAATACATTACCCTGTCCACTATATTTTTTTGGCAGACGGGTCGTAAACGAAAGATTTTATGAGTATTTGGGTCATTTCACACCTGTAGTGGTGTGCGTTTGGGTATTTAATCAAAAATACTGGAATATTACTGGAGTTTTTTTCCAACACCGTACACAATACGGACCTGCCAGCGTGAATTCCAGTTTTCAATGTCCCCCATAGAAAATAGTCCAAATAGTCAAAATAGTCTATCTTATTGGCCCATTATTTGTCTCGAAATGAAAGGACTCCAATTCGAACATTTATTGTGTACCTATATAAATTACTTCATTTCAATTTTTATTTCAATTATAGTGTTCGTTTCGAATGTTATTATTGCTACCATTTCTTTTTCTGCTTATTAAAACACAATTAATATATTTTTGATGTAGATATAGATAATTATAAAAGGTTTTCTTATTCGAAGTTAATTGTATAGAAAACGTTTAGAGCAATGGAAAAAATATGAATAGGTACCTAAAAATGAAAAAAAAAACTCTCGAAAAACTCTACGGTACATAGGGAGACAGAAAGTTGCTATTGTATTTTTATTCAACTTAGTCGACCAATTTCCAGGGCCGTAATTCAAAAGGGAATAATTCACACACTTATAATCAAATATTACCGAAACATCCTGAAATATAAAATAAAATTTAATTTCTCAGTATGAAGTGAACGTCTACAATCCTAAAACTACAACAAAAAATACAGGTCCGTATTTAAAAATTCAAAGATGGGGGTGGCCCAAGTGGACACCCTGTATAAAAGATTCATGGACATATTCTGATAGCCAACATCAAGTGCTAATAGCAAAATGTGGACAAATTTTCAATATGTCTGCGAATAAAGAAGATATGGGCAAAAAAATAATTTGGCATTTTTTGGTTTTTCGTGTATATCTCCAGAACCAAAACAGCTATATCCGATTTCTTTACATCATTAAATAGGTCTCTAAAATACGCAACTTTGCCATAATTCAACCGACACTCTATCTCTTATCGTTTACGAGATCCCCATGTACAGAAACAAATTTGAATATATACAGTGTCATCCCCAAAGTATGCACCATATGGGAAACTTATTTATTAAGGGTTTTTCGACCAAAAGTTATTCTTGATTAAAGTTTGTGCATCCCCTAAAACCAAACATGTGCCAACAAAATATAGTTAAACACACATAATATACGAGTGGCCTTCAAATATTTGATTTTGAGACAAGAGTAAAGTACTTTTGTTTTGAAAAATCTCGGGAAATATTATTTAGAAAAGTTGTTCAGCATTGAAAAATACATCCAGATTTGAAGTCATGGCCATCTAAGTGAAGTTTAATTTTTTACCCATTTTTTTAAAATGAGTAAGAAAAAAATTTTGCTAAAAGATAAATACGACGGTTTATATGGCGAAACATGTGATGAATTTTAGTAAATCTCACAGAAAAGTGTTTTTTGAAAGCGTTATGCGTTATTTGAAATTCTGCAATATTACAAATTACAAAACTATGGTGTTAACCACAGTCAATTTTTTTGAAGAGTAAAATAATTTTCAAAGTTTTTGGTGTAAAGTTATTTTTATTTTCTGTTAACACTGAAATTACTCAAAATTACATTGTAATGTAACAATGTAACAAGATCTCAATATGCAATAATATCAAATCACAAAACATCAAAATAAAATAGGTATTTCGGAACAAACTCATTGATTTTCTGGAGATTTTCTTGTCCAAAATAATTCTTCCTTTGGGGAAGAAGAACGCCAGAACCTTATTTCCCAAAAAATAAGCAAAAAAATTGTCTAACGGTTTTATTGGAAAAACAAATATAATAATGATGAAGATAATGTAGGTACCAAAAACTAAAAAATAATTCGGAAGGTCCTAGGTAGCAGTCATGACACCATTCTCCTCAGCAATCTACGGAATAGATCTGGTAAAAAAATTGTTGGGCGCAGTATTTCCATACTTACTCAGACTACGCTACTCCCAACGATTTTAATATTTTTGTATCTGGTCAATCCCGTAGATTGCTGAGGAGAGTAGTGTGATGACTGCTACCTGGTAGGTACCGCCCGAATTAGTTTTTACACATTATCTATACCATTATTATATTTTTTCTCCATAACATCGTTCAACATAAAATTTTATTTTACTTATTTTATTATCAAGTTGTCAGTTTCTAATTTTGTTACTCAATTCTTCTCATTCTGTTTAGTTCATTTAGTGACTGATTTAGTGGCCGCCATTTTGTAGCTGCAGTCATTTTGATTTTGCATCTTTTTCAATGGTACCACTATTCAAACCCTGTCATTTGACACCCATATTGAGGTAATTGTGAAACAATTTGTAATCTGCCATTTTGTATCTGCGGCCATCTTGGATTTACACTGTATCAGATTGTATTGTTATCAAAACTAAATGTGTGTACCAAATATCAGATCAATCTGTTAACAAGAAGGGGGTCAAACTTCAATTACAAAATTTGACATATAGTAATGAATATTACTGGAGTTTAGTCCCAACACCGTCATTTTTAACACCCCGACACGTGTTTCGATCACCAAGTGATCATCTTCAAGAGGAATATTAAAACAATTTTCCTTGTTTGTTTCTTGAAACCAATGATATTAGTTTGAATTCTTTAGCACCTTTACACATTTTTTTTACCTTTTCTTTCAGGTAACTTCGAGGATATCTACAATCAAAAATGTATCATGCGGAACAAATGAAGGCATAATGATTACTTTTGATTCAATTGAAGTTGTACATCAATTAGATTCGGAAAGCGGTGAGTTGCATTGAGGCATGGTTTCTAATATTAGGTATACAGGGTGTATCTTAAATGAAGTCATTAATTTCAAGTGGTGATTGATTGTCATATTTCATGAACGTATGTATTAACTTGCTTCGTTTCCGAGTAACGATCAAAACTTGACGAAAAATATTGTTTTTTTATTAATAACTCAGAAGACTTTTTGCCGATTTTAATGAACATACACAACGAACAATTTTCTGTTTCGGGCCTAAATTTTACAATATACTAGATCGCATTTATCGAATGACCTATAAATAGTCAGATCTCAAAGGAATAAGTCCAGTTATCACCCGAAGACGATTGTGGTTACTAACAATCGAAACGTCGTGAAGTAACTTGGTTTGGAATCTTTTAATTTTATATTTTTAATTTTCATTACTTGTAAATATTTTTTTTTAGTTTATCAGCTTTTTGGTTTTTTTGGTTGTTGCTTGTATGATATTTCACTGTACTTTTAATTTTATATTTTTAATTTTCATTACTTGTTAATATTTTTTTTTAGTTTATCAGCTTTTTGGTTTTTTTGGTTGTTGCTTGTATGATATTTCACTGTAATTTCAGTTTTTTACTTAATAAAATTGTTTTTTCAGCTAATCATTTTAATTTTTTACAGATTGTTTCAGGGATTTCAAATCAATTTATATTATATTAGACAATGGAAATCCGAACTGATGAAATGCATCACGAAACATTGTCAACCATCTTCAAACAAATACTAGATCGCAGTTTGAAAGAAAACTTCTCATTCAATAAATATACCGGGTGTCCCAGAGCTTGTAGGCCAGCAGATATCTCAGTCACCTGCAGAAAAAAATTGAAAGAAAATATGTATATCATAGAAGACCACCAGCACTTTCATGTAGCAGAGCAAAATGCACCCCCTCGCGAGCAACCCCTGCGAAACCACCCCTAACTTTTGTTTTTTAAATGGCAACCCCATGTTGTTTGTCATTCAACTGACAGCTCTTGTTATTTCTCAACCAACGATATATCATAATTGTTCAAGAAAATTGAATACGTTAGTGGGTACTATTAACTGGACTGATCGAATTGTTCTGCATTGTAGACACCAGAAAAAGTGGACGCTACGCAGAAAAAGAGGCGATAAAATGTTAGAACTTTTTGTGCTTCCTTTCATTCCTCTGATATCTGGATGACACATTGCCATCAGTCGTGATATTGTTGTTGTATATCAAAATGCCTTTTACCTTCACTCCCAACGAATACGTTGATATGCTTTTAATTTTTGGTGAATGCCGAAAGAATAAACGTGCTGCGGAGAGGCTGTATGGGCAGCGCTTTCCTGATCGTCGACAACCAGGTCGTAATACGTTTTCGTATGTAGAAAATACCATGCGAACGGGATCATTTCCAGGAAAAACAGATCAAGTACATCCTACTCCCGTGCGAACTGAGGAAAATTGCATAAATGTGTTGGCCTACGCCGAAGCACATCCTCATATTTCGGTTCGTGCATTGGCGGTAGAGATTGGGATCAGTAAGTCATCTGTGCAAAGAATTTTCAAACAGTACAAGTATCATCCCTTCAAAATTCATTTACACCAAGGACTCAGACCTACCGATTTCGAAAGTCGAACGGCATTCATTGCTCACATTCAAGTTTTAGTCCATGACAATCCAAATATCCTCAATCAAATCTTGTGGAGTGACGAATCCCGCTTCCATAATAATGGTACTGTTAATCGACATAACATGCACTATTGGTCACAGGACAACCTTCACTGGATTAGAGAAACCAATTTCCAAACAATGTGGGGTGTGAACGTGTGGTGTGATTTACATAATGGACGACTCATCGGGCCCCATTTTTTCCAAGACACTTTGACGGGCCACCGATATTTACATTTCTTGGAAAATTGTTTACCTGCCCTCCTGGAAGATATTCCACTTGAAGAACGACAACAAATTTGGTGGCAACAAGATGGTGCTCCTGCACATAATCATAATGTAGTTACTACATTCCTCAATGATACTTTTCGAGACCGTTGGATTGGAAATAGTGGACCTATGCGATGGCCTGCACGTTCTCCAGATCTCACGCCACTGGACTTTTTCCTGTGGGGAGATCTGAAACGAGTTGCCTTCGAAACACAACCAATGAATATTGACGATTTAACCCAAAAAATTTTAGAGGCTTGTCATACCGTTACTCCGGAAATGATTAGGGCTTCCTGTACTCGCGCGCTGATTTGGCGACTTGAAGCATGTGTGGCAAGTGCTGGCCAACATTTTGAACATTTTCTGTAGTATCATGTATCAAAATACAGATGACCTTAATTAATATTTCATTTGTGTTTATATTTTCTATGATTCTGCATGTCATTCTACCTACCATGATACATCATTGACCGAGAAATGAAAAAGACTGTAAGTTGAACCAAAACAAACATGGGCGTGCCATTTGAAAAACAAAAGTTAGGGGTGGTTTCTTGGGGGTTGTTTACCAGGGGGTGGATTTTGCTATGCTGCATGAAAGTGCTTGTGTTCTCCTATGATACATATTTTTGTTTTAATTTTTGTTCTGCAGGTAACTGAGATATCTGCTGGCCTAAAAGCTCTGGGACACCCGGTATAACTGGTATAAAACAATTCATCAACCTCAACTATCAAACACTAGTGAAGTTACAATGGAAAATATATATGGTTAATTAAAAGTCAGTTGTTTCCCTGAAACATATGCCACATTATTTTTGTAAGTAGTAGAAAGCCAAAACAACTTCATTTCCAAACAAGGATAACTGTTACTATTACTTCGATATAACTTGTTATATCGAAGTAATAATAATAAAATTGGATTGAAAAATTGTTAGCAGTGACAAAGGGCTTCTTTTCATGAAACTAGATTACTGATGATAATTCCAGTGGCGTCACAGAGGGTTACCTAGTTGATATTTATGGTAAAAATCATTGTACGCCACTGTTTTTCTCCAAGGTTGATATTTTCATCAAATTGAATAATTAATGAAAAAACGTGTTTGAAGACAATCTTTTATCCAAATGCACTAAATTGAAAACATAATTTCTTCAATTGTTTGATTTATAGTCTATTTCAAAAGAGTGTAGAGTAATAAATCATGAAGTGTCATAAAAGAAATAAAAATTTAATTATACATGGCTATTCAAATTCGTTTCTGTACATGGGGATCTCGTAAACGATAAGAGATAGAGTGTCGGTTAAATTGTGGCAAAGTTGCGTATTTTAGAGATCTATTTAATGACGTAAAGAAATCGAATATAGCTCTTTTGATTCTTGATATAAACACGAAAACGAAAAACCAAAAAATGCCAAATTATTTTTTTGCCCATATCTTCTTTATTCGCAGACATATTGAGAGTCTGTCCATATTTTGCTATTGGCAATTGATGTGGGCTCTCAGAATATATCCATGAATACTTGGGCCGTATTTTTAAATACGGACCTGTATTTTCTGTTGTAGTTTTTGAATCGTAGACGTTCACTTCATATTGAGAAATTAAATTCAATTTTATATTTCGGAATTTTTTGGTAATATTCGATTATAATTGTGTGAATTATTCCCTTTTAAATTACGGCCCTGGAAATTGGTTGACTGAGTTGAATAAAAACATAATAGCAACTTTCACGTCTCCCTATGTATCGTAGAGTTTTTCGAGAGTTTTTTTCATTTTTAGGTACTTATTCATATTTTTTCCATTGCTCTGAGAGTTTTCTACAATGAACTTCGAATAAGAAAACCTTTTATGATTATCTGAAACATATCTACAACAAAAATATATTATATGTGTTTTGATGAGCAGAAAAAAATGGTAGCAATAACAACATTCGAAACGAACACTATAATTATAATGAAAATTGAAATGAAGTAAGTAATTTATATACACAAAAAAATTAATTGTGCAATAAATGTTCGAATTGGAGTCCTTCCATTTCGAGACAAATAACGGGACAATAAGATGGTCTGCAAGATCACCAGATCTTACCATTTTGGACTATTTTGAATGGGGGACATTGAAAAATAGGATTCACGCTGACAGAGAGATAGAAAATGTGAAAGACTCGAGATTGAGGATTTTGAATGATTTCGCAACAATGCAGCAAATAAGTGTATTAAGGGAATAAATAATATGAAAACCTAGTTTAAAAATATTTCGAAATGGAAGGACCCCAATTCGAACATTTGTTGCGCCAATATTTTTTTTGGGTACCTATATAAATTACTTCATTTCAATTTTCATTACAATTATAGTGTTCGATTCGGATGTCATTATAGTTATCATTTATTTTTCTGCTTATTAAAACACATATAATATATTTTTGATATAGATATGTTTCAAATAATCAAAAAAGGTTTTCTTATTCGAAGTTCATTGTAGAAAACGCTCAGAATTTCCAGGGCCGTAATGTAAAAGGGAATAATTTACACAATTGTTTCACACAATTGTAATCGAATATTACCGAAACATCCCGAAATATAAAATTCAATTTCATTTCTCAGTATGAAGTGAACGTCTCCGATCCAAAAACTACAACAAAAAAAATAGGTTCGTATTTAAAAAATTCAAAGATGGGGGTGGCCCACGTCAGATGACACCCTGTATAAAAGATTCATGGATATATTCTGAGAGCCCACATCAAGTGCCAATAGCAAAATGTGGACAGATTCTCAATATGTCTGCGAATAAAGAAGATATAGGCAAAAAATAATTTTGCATTTTTTGGTTTTTCGTGTATATCTCCAGAACCAAAAGAGCTATTTTCGATTTCTTTACATCATTGAATAGGTCTCTAAAGTACACAACTTTGCCACAATTTAACGGACACTTTATCTTTTATCGTTTACGAGATGCCCATGTACAGAAACGAATTTAAATAGCCCTGTATATCAAAATAAGGGATACACTATACTTAATTTTGATTTAATTACTTGTCAAACCCAGCAAGGTTGAAATAACTTATAATATTATTAGCGAAATGACATTAATTTGTGAAGTGAAAAATGATTCAAACACTGCTTGTACGACATTCGTTATTTTTTCAAGATGTTTATAGGTTCTTCTTCCGTTTTCCCCGTAGAATTTGAAAATAATATCAACGAAAACAGCTGATTTTCAACCACAGTAGGTATAGGTCACTAGAGTTCAAAAGTTTATTATAGTTCAATTCCATAATAGTAGGCACTAAATTCTCAGAAATATTATTGCATTGAAACGAAAAAAATTGTTGTCAAGGTTTTGATTCTACAGGCTGATTCACGGTGGATGGCACATTAGACGTTACTGGTGAACCAGACAACGGATCACTTTGAAAATTTAATGGAGGGCATATTCGGACATTAATTGTCGAAAATATTTTAGTTGGCTAGAGAATGTCCGAATATGCCCTCCATTAAATTTTCAAAGTGATCCGTTGTCTGGTTCACCAGAAACGTCTGATATACCATACACCGTGAATCAGCCTGTATATATTTAATCATAATTTTTCCTCATCTGTATATAGTGCATTTCTTTAATGTCCCCCCCTTTATCAACTAAAAAAAATTAAATTTGGGATAATGAAATTAATGCATGAATACTTTATTTTGAAGTGAAACTGTCAGATGAAACTTTCGAAATGGCGACTGGTCGCCATCTGGGAAAAAAGATTAAATGAAAAGAGGGGTCTTGTGACACATAATTTTGAATTTCATGACATTCCATTATATACATGAAACTTCCAAGATGGCGCCCAGTCGCCATCTTGAAAGTTTCATCTGCCAATTTCACTTCAAAATAAAGTATTCATGCATTATTTTCATTATCCCAAATTTCAATTTTTTGAGTTGACCCGTTCGAAAAATAAAAGGGGGGACATTAAATAAATGCACTGTATTATACTAAATTATACTAATTTCCGTACACTACTGCAAAAGACAGATTAAACAAAAACTCCAGTGATTTATAGTAATTTAGTGCCTACCATTTTGGATTTATAGTACAAATCTGTCGAATGTCTGCCATTTTTAATAACCATGACGATACATGTAAGCTAAGATCGTCTAACAAGGCAGGGCCGTACCTGCCAACTCGCATCACCAAAGTCTCTAGTCCATTACATTCCTGATACGATATTTTAATTTTCCAGTTGTTGATATCATCAAAAACTACACAAGAAATTACGAAGACATTCTGATCAAACACAGGGTGCCCCACAAATTAAACCTGTTCTGCAGCAGGCACACAACTCAAGAGATATACATCGATCTATTCAAGGAAATCGGGAGTGAGCTCAGAGAGATGTTGCAAGACGACCTGATTTCGCTGGCCCCTGGCCTGAAGATACACTCGGCGACGTTGTCCAAACCGAACATTCCACGAGATTTGGTGAAGAATTTAGAAAGGATAGAACTCGAAGCGACTAATTTTCGCATTGCTGCAGAACGTCAAAAGGTAATATGTGTTCTCTATTTCACAGTCATGTGTCTATAATTGATAACAGGCTTTCTGAAACTTTTGACTTTTCATAATCTGAAAAAATGAAAAAGTTGTAAGTTTTGTTATTTGATGCAATTGACCGATATTTGATGAACATCCATGACGTACTCAAGAAAACACTTGATTGTGAGATTTTCACTAAACAGTTTTACAAAAACGCAACACGTGTTTCGCTATACAATAGCTTCCTCAGGCGTGTATATACTCCATGCCTGAAGAAGCTATTATATAGCGAAACAGGTGTTGCGTTTTTTACCTGAAAAAAATGATAAAATTTACATTCTAATCGAATTATCTTTTATGTATATTCGTTTTACTTTTTTATTGACGATCAGTGAACGGACGTGTATGAGCTAGTCTGCGAAACAAGTTGATAAGGTTTCATATTGATTTTGAATTTAATATTAATATTCAAATTCAAGAAATTTCTTAAGGTGCTATAACCGGTGTACCTACCGTACATCCTTTATAGCCCAGTCGAATTAGAATTTGAAAACGCAATAGTTTTTACCGACAATTTTCTTTTGGAATTCTTTGGGGGGGGTCACTGGGGGCACCAGACCATATGCGTCATCCGTAATCTTAAAGTTTAGGGTTGATTTTTGTTTATGGAATAACTCGTTTATTTTCAATTTCACTTGAAAAATAGTCATCACGAAAGTTGATCAAAATTGAATTTCCTACAATTTTTTTTGGTTCTCATAAATTTTTTCCAGGATCGATATTTTTCGATTTTTACCCGAAAAAAAGGGGCAATTTTTTTTAATGAACTCCATTATTTTCAATTTTTATTTTCAAATTTGATTTTGTACAATTCTGTTCATGACAATTTTTCTCGTAAAATTGAAAATAAAGGTGATAATACAATAAGATTTTACCTCTTCCTTTTCTCGAAAAATATCAATTCTACGAAAAAATCGATAAAACCAAAATTGTAGGAAATTTCATTTTGAACAACTTAGTTCATCACAATGTTTCTAGTAAAATTGAAATTAAACGAGTTGTTCAATAAAAAAAATCACACCCTCTTTTCGGGTATAAATCGAAAAATACCGATCCTAGAAAAAAATTATAGGAATCAAAATTGTAGCAAACTTAATTTTAAACAACTCATGTCATGACTATTTTTCGTGTTAAATTGAAAATAAACGATTTATTCAATAAACAAAAATCGACTCTTAAATTCAAGATGGCGGATGACGCAACCGATTTGGTACCCCGGGATCTTAAATTTAAACTACTAGTGACCCTCCCAAAGAATTCGACTGGCGTATTATTGTTGTAATTATTATACACTCTCTGACAAAAATATTATTTCAAGATTTTTTTTCATGTCAATTTTTTTTCCTTAACACGTTATTTATTTTTATTAATAAATGTTCAAATGCCAAAGTATTTTACGTAAATTTCCATTCAGTATAGAAGAAGAATGCTTGAACATAGTCCGTATGACTGAATAAGTAAAATAATGGTACCAATTACAAACTTTGGCGATAAATATTCGTTTTGAGGGCATTCGGCAATTTTGAAAGAAATTTTATGGGTACTTACGTATTTTGATGCGTAGATTACGAATCCGTAAGAAAAAATCGGCGGCCTTCAAAGTTCAGAAAAGGACAACTTTTCAACCTTCTTTTTCATAAGATAAACTTTTTAAAAACACAAGCATTTATTCACTAGGTCACCTTTACACCTTAGTCCTCCTCAACATTTTTCTTATAAAAAACTTAATTTAAAAACGAATGCTTCTTCTGGTGACATTCTTCTATTTCTAGGTTAGTTGCTAGTGCGGTTAGTATTTACCGCCGCCTATTTCAAATTCGTAATACTCTACCAAAAACCAATTTACGATCTAAAGAATGAAGGCAAAAAACATTTGAATTACTTTAGGAATATTGACAGCATCAGTCGTACCAACTATGCCATTAACCTTAAAAACGCAAAATACAGAGATATATAACCAAAAAGCAGCTCCCTACATTTTTTAACATTTTTATTAGAAATATGTTGATTGTTGAAGTGAAAAGTGTAAGGTAGGAGGATTAAGGTGTGAATGAATGCTTGTTTTTAAATACTTTATCTTGTGAAAAAGAAGGCAGAGAAGTTGCCTTTTTCTGAACTTTGAAGGGTCGTAACTTTGTAAATAAAGGAGAGCGCCGCTTTGTTTCTTTCGGATTCATAATCTACGTATCAAAATACGTAAGTACTTTTGAAAATTTTTTCAAAATCGCCGGGTGCTCCCAAAACGAATATTTACTGTAATCTTGTACACGTTATCTTTGGTGGTGGTTCCATTATGTGGTGGGGTGGCATTAGTTGGGACAGTCGCACCGAGCTTATAGATGTGAATTTAAGAATGAATGCTGACTGGTACACACGCAACATCCTTGAAGAGCATGTTTTACCTTACGGCAGCTTCATTGGTTACGACAATTTCGTGCTAATACATGATAATGCTCGTGCACATGTTGCGAGAACAGTCAGCCAGTATCTTGAAGTTGTTGTGCTTGAGGCAGTGGAGTGGCCACCAAATAGTCCTGACGCAAATCCCATAGAACATATTTGGGACATCCTAAAAAACATACGAGAACGAAATCCAGCTCCTAACTCAATTGCAGAATTAAGAATTGCTGCACAAGAATAATGGAATCGAATTCCACAAAAAAACACCAACAACTTTTTGCGGAGTATGTCCAAGAGGATGCAGACTATCGTTAGAGATAGAGGAGGAAATACTAAGTTCTGAACTGTTATTATTTTGCCCCAAAGAACTTTCATTTTGTCGTTATTGTTGCTTGTTCTGATTGAATAGTATTACCAAAACTAGACTATTCCATTATTTCTTCTACAAGTGTGTTTTAAAGTTTCAATATCTGGATTATTTGGCAATCAATATACTTCAAATTATTTAGCATGTACTATTTAGTAATGAAAACTGCATACAGATTCAGACAAATAGAAATAAACATGAAATCAAAGCTTGAAATAAAATATGCAATATTGTTGTCCGTGACTGTAGTTTGACTACGCATGTTTTCAGGTACTGGAAAAAGAAGCCGAAGTAGAGATGATCAGAGCTACCCTAAAAGCTGAAAAAGAAGCTCGACTGGAGAGTATCCGATTAGAGAAAAGGCTGATAGAATTGGAATTATTGCGGAAAATTGCCCTAATTGAAAATGAAATTCACGCGGCACGACAAAAAAATCTTGTCGACGAGGAAATCTACAAGTTGCAGAGACAAGCCGAAATCAATAATATCTTGTACACACCCGAGTACATAGAAGTGAAGAAATACGAAGCGATCACGTGTAACCCAAAAATTATGCGCGGTGCCGATATCACCAACGTTTTTCCGCCTGCTGTACGAAAGCCACAAGCCCATGAATGCCCACCAGATAATGAAATTCTAAAAGTTGGGGACACTAGGACAAACACAACTTTTGTATAGTGGTGCAGTTGAGTCGAGTTGAATTTTCATGTGTCAATGTGTAGGCCTTTTGCCTCCCTTTGTTTGTGATTATGTTGTGTATGTAGTCTATATATTATATGAAGAAAAATATGATCTATATTTGTTTTATTTACTGCCAAAACCAAAGAAGCAAATGGGAAACGGTGTTACAATTGTTCCTGTTTTGTTTTACTGTGGTCAGTGGTCAGTGCTGCTCCAAAGCAAAAAAAATGTACGAAAATGACAGATGAAAATGTATGCTTTTCGATTTAATTGTATAGCATCAATGGTCGCCAACACTCATCAGAATAATTGACAAGTGACAGCTTCCCGCATGATGCAAAGATGGAATAAAGCAATTAGCGCATGCGCAGACACTCCGTCGTATATTTAATGTAAATATTTTGAAGTGGTTAATGCAAATATATTGATTTGATTACTATTTGCATTAATATTAATTGAAAATTCTGCATTCATTAATCTAGCTTTAGCTTATATTATGTATCAAATCAAATGACAACACAAAGTCTCCTTAAACAAAAAACAAGAGGAGTGAGGTGAACTACCAATTACCATTCATAAATATTTATTTAAAATTCGTCATTTGTCTTTTCTCACTGTGGATTTTATTTTTTAGCATCAGCGGTTTTCGACAGATTTGACATTTGACTGATGTGAAAAATAAGTGATTTGTGCTCTGTGATCGTGATCTATACTTCTATGACAGATGGACACGCCTATCATAATGAGACGGAAGACAGAAATAGACAGATTACTCGAATATAGAAGGACGAAGTGATTGAAATTTGTAAATATATACCGTGGCCTGGTTCGAATCTATTCAAAACCAAATGAAGTCAAAATGTATGCTTTTCGTCAATATGGTATGCATGTACGAAAAAATATTGAATTGTATAGCAATTCATACAATTGTATAGCCAGGAGCAGCCCTGACTGTGGTAAAAACAGGCTGCTCGCAATTCAGAAGTGACTAAGGACCGATTACACGGTACAATAAACAGAATACTACATACAATATAATTTTTCCGGAGAAATGGCAACTTTTGAAAGCTGTAAGGCAGGAACTTTTCCAGAATTTTACTACATCTCCATCCAATGCTTTTAAAGTTCATGACAAAGGCTTTGTACAGTGTAATAAACGAAATTTTAATTCAAAAAGTTACCTCTCAAGTTACTTGTCATGACATCGTGAATAACCCTCAGAATATTATTAGGATGTTTCAAAAGTTTTGTCCGTTTTTATGAGTCTAATTTAAACTGTAATATCTCAGTAAATATACTCAGATAATTGAATGGAACTGAGCGTCATTTGAATCAGCGCACTTTTGCCAACGTAACAAAAGTAGACCAATTCCGTCAGCATGAAAATTGTGACTCGGGCACAGAACACCCTATCTATATAGATAGGGTGTTCTAGATAGGATATCCTATAGATAGGGTGTTCTGTGACTCGGGATTCGATGAAGGCCCTTTTTGCCTAGTCCTGGTTGGCAAAGGTTCTACCTATGTGCACTGTTGCCACAGCTACCCCGTACGGGGTAGTTCTACCCCTCTTGAACTCAATTTCCCCCTCTCGCTCACCTCAAGTAATTCTACCCCGCTCAGATATAAAGCAAAAGAATGTGAAATAATGTAATTCAAAATAGTCAAAAACAAACCTTATGAACGCAAGACGCGATGTGATACGGGATTACCCAAACCTTTAGATGTACATCTGATAAAATCATTGAAAAAAACAATATACGACTGTTACACAAGCAATGAGATTCCTACAACAGAAATCATAAGGAATGAATTGAATATTTCCGGCAATAACGTGAGCTGCTGTGACAAAACTCTTTAGAATCGGATAAAGAAACTAATATTTAGATTCAAAATGATAAACAAACGTCAAGCAGTTATGGAAAGCAGAAGAATAGTGGAATTGCGTAACAAATACTCAGAACAAATAACTAAATATAGACAAGAACAACGGCCAATTTCCTTTTTGGACGAAACTTGGTATAACACTCACGACACAGTTACGAAAGGGTGGACTGATGGTTCGAGAATGTGTACGCCTGACAAGCCTGCAAACAAAGGATCGCGATTAATCATTGTGCATTGCGGAGGAAGTAAAGGATGGGTCTGAATTCTTTGAAGGTATATGGAAAAAAAACTTAAGGACTGCAATGTTGACTATCATAAGAACATGGAAGCTAATATTTTCGAGGAATCGTTTGGAAACACATTGATCCCTAATTTGGATGCGATGACATGTGACTTATGTTTTTGATTACGATCGTCAAATTTATCATAGAACAAAGAACGACAATCATAGGTATACGTCAATGCGTCACTGTGATTGGTGTCATCATGTAAGTGGATCCACCCCGATTCTACCCCGCTCCCTTCCAGAAATCTACCTCGATGAAAAAATAGCTTGTGGCAACACTGCCTATGTGAGAGTTATCGAAATACTCGAATAGGTGGTAGTTGTTTGGAAAGAGGTCTAGGGAGTATGATGGGTGAGGCAGAACTTTGAGGCTCAATTCTTTCAATTTTCGGACGGAGATTTGTGAAACGTGCGGACGGGCGTTGCCTCGGACCTCTTCTGTTGACCAGGGCCGGCTGATACTGACGTAATTTTCGGTACATTTCGTCGATTTCCTCATAATAATACTCTGCTGTGATAGTTTGTCCCGGCTGCAGAAAGTTATAGTGAATCACACCAGCCGCTAACCACCATACAGTAACCGTGGTCTCTTTTTGATGGGTTTTTGCTTTCAGGAAGTATTTAGGTGGCTCATATCGGTGTCCAACCATTGTCCTGAACGTCTCATGTTGTAGACCATCGTTTTGGTTGCGCAAAAGCAAAAAAGAACAGACCTCGAAACGTGACGATTTCTGTGGATCGTTCAAATCGTGGGTCACCCACTTTTCGAGCTTTCTGACCTTTACAATACATTTTAAACCATGAAAAACCGCATGGGACTGACGCCATTCCGCTTTCTCAAATCCTCGTCCTCCATCGACTACTTCGGGGCTCATCTCCGAGGCTAAAATATCCAGAACGAAATTTCGCAAAGAGCACAATAAAATATACAAAAAATAAATCGGTTTTGACATATAACCAAACCTCTATCAAAAATTATACAGATACAAAATTAATTGATGCACAAAATTTTAAAAACGAATTCATTTCTGATGAAAAGAAAGTTACCAATAGATTGGCTACAGAATAGGGATCGGAACGAAACCTTCATGATAGCAGGACATCACGACAAGGACCTAGCCAAGCATGTGATCCTACAAAAATAAAATAACTATTGATACATTCACTCCTCAAACGTAATTGTGCTACCGATACATTAATAGAAACCGCAGTGGATAACACCAAATCCACCAAAAACGATATAGGTGGTTATTCTATGATTGAATGAAGCTACTGACAAAATCAAAAGTCAATATTTCTGCAATATCAGACACACAAACCCAATTATAATGACAGAACCTTACATATATAATATCAAGGGGATCATTGAGTTAGTATATCGAAGCAACCTGCAAAGGAAGAGAAGCCTTCATTAAATGAATACCCATGCGGCATACTTCGAATGCACTCATTACCTGAGAAAACCCACTTGTCTCAGAAACGGATACACTCACAGTAAAGGAAAATGGTTTTTATTTAGAGTAGTATGGGAATTTATGAAAAAAAAATTGGAATACCAGTTCAAAAGCAGGACGTCAACATTTGCGTTACGGTTACGTTCCAACCACGAATTAAAAGTTTTCAGATAAAAAGTAACAATTGATTGGTTAATTAATCAATTGATTGTACTGAGTGAATGTCAAAAAAGTGAAGTTGGTCAATACAAAAAGTAATTCCATACAACTTTATTTTTTGACATCTTCTCACAGCACAAGAAACCAATCAATTCTCACTAATTTCATTAAGAAAACTACCCGTTTGGTGTGGTAAAAAGAAAATATCAATATTCATATTGGTGAAGAATTAAATAGGATTGCAACCACACACACATAAGTTGTATTTCATTCCCTTTGTACGTCTGAACAAGCGTTGCAGACGGCAGTCACCAGATAGGGCCAACCTTGTGGAAAATCAGTATAAACCCTGACAAGAGTCAGGCAATAACCTTCACCCGGAGGAAACACCCGAAAGAAAACGTCATCTTCAACGAACAACAGATATAGTAGTCCCACTCAGTGCTGCCGCAACGTCAATTCAAAAAGTACCGAAATTTACAAGAAAATAGTACCCAAAATGTACTGCGCAAGACTAGGCATGGCACATGCGCATAAGTCATTTCAAACCAAATGCCAGTAATGCCAAACGTGTAATAATGTTATCCATTTAAATTCGGAAAATATATGGAGTAAATAATTTGCTGAAAACTAAGAAATGTTCCTTAAGAAAAAGATCATAATCAGAACATTTGATAAAAAGGTGTATTTTTCCTTCTTCAAATTGCTCTTTCACGATTGCAAATGTGTTTTGTTTTAAATAGGTTTCTGTCACAATAGAATGAACAATACTAAAGACGTTTTCAAGTAGCTAGATTCGAGAATTCATTTTTACCTGTCCATATTCCTATTTATTTTGACAAAACAATAAAACCAATTTCTCATGGTGAGATGTGAGGTTAGAAGTTAAAACTGCTGTTCTGCTGACTGACTGACAGATGACAGAACCACAGTTCACAGGCACAATACAGAACACAGGATTAAATAATGCAGAGTTATGATGATAGCTCGCAATATTGACACAAGTACGGTATTTGCTGATCTGGAACTTGAAACACGGAATTGCATTGTTGCCACACATATTGTTGTTATTTTTTACTGTACTCGATGGGAGTCAACGTGAAAATGTAAAAAATTGGGATTATAGTAAATAGTACCGAATAGTCTACTTATTGATCCGGGTAGTATCTTCGTATCAAAATCATGGAATAGTACCGAATGGGGTACAATAGTACCTTAACGGCAGCACTGAGTCCCACTTAGCGTCGGTCCCTTTGACGTTGGTGTCCAGGAGTTTCAGTTTTTACGATGCTGACGTATTTGACACTAATGACATTTCTCCCTACTACAATCTCAACCAAAGCGTCTAAACACTGCTCAACATAACAACTATTCATATAAACTGCTCAAAAAATACAGTCGATGAAAACCATGTTGGGAACCTGAGAAAATTGTACAAATGATAATTTTGCATTTGTGTAATATTCAAGTAACCCAGATCATTTGAACAATGATGAACTATGTTTCAAGAAGATTTTAAAAATTCATGGGATCGGCAGATGTTCATATTCGGATGTGACAAAATATATTTTCATTTCAACAAGAAAAAAGACAAGATGAAGAGAATGAGTTTTGTTATTCATGAACCATGATACGAATCCATGCTAAATTTCTTTGTAGTGATTTTTGGGGCCAAATATAGCATTGATTTGCCAAATATAGCATTGATTTGAGATTTCAAGATGGCGGACGAGTTTGCCGATTCGATTATATTATTTCGATTATATTATATAGTAGGTTGGGTGAAACCCATGAAATTCGACAACTATGGAAGGGTTGCGTGCCTGTCTTGAACTCGTCGTTTGCGCAGACCTGAGACTGCAACTCCTGGATCTGCGTATAGAAAATTTAAACCCAAAATCACCCGAAGTGGGATTACTGTATATAGAATACTGTGGTAAAATTACCGATAATCCTGTATGCCTGCACTGCCTGGGGCCAGAGCGCAGCGACATACAGAAGACAGATGCAGTCGTTTATGAACGCGTGCGTAAGGGCCGGGAGGGAGCATGGGGGGGGCTTTGCAAGTCTCGACACGTTGAACTGAATATAGAATTTGCAAGTTTTTACATATAACAGTGGCTGAGCTTCTTAAAATATTATCTGCTGCATTGATAGGTGAAGTCAAGCCAACATTTTAGTTCTTATGTATATACGTTATGTTAAAATATGTTTTTTCCGTTAACCAGCTGTCGCACCCCTATGAACAACAACCCATAGAAGTCGAAACTTGTGCGAGCTAAGGACTAACGAGGTCTTACCTTCTAACGTGTGATTCTTAACACGAGTTGGACGATAGCAAGTGAAAATTGATCGTTCAGTCTGCACTATAGAAACTAGATACATTTTCGTAGACCCCAGCTTACGAATTGTGAAACCCTATTCCAACGTAGAACCACGTCGCCTTGGACCGCTTTGAAAATCACTGTTTCAGACGAAGGTTTCATACTTGCAGTTGAGCTGCGTTGGAATTAATCGGGTCGCAGGCACTTGTTTGGGTCGGATCTTTCCTGCACTGATGAAAGGAAATACCCCACAACCGGTCTGAGGGTGATCAATTTTGATAACTTCAGCAGGGTCCTGCTCTAGGATGAACAAGAAACATCTGCGAGACTAGCCTCGGTGAGGTATCTTGAATGAATGTCTGTTGGATATAATTCAATATCTAGCGAGGTATTAGCCGGTGAAGTAGTTTTTTTCCGGCAGGCATTTACCAGAACTTACAGGGCGGGCTCTTGGGAGAGATGACATATTTCGAAATTTCATTTTGGAATATTCACTTTCTAGTTTGAATCAGTTGCTGTTCAAACAGTAAAATATGTATGTCAAATTTCACTGCTTCTGCAGTGGTTGCTAACCATGAAAATAGGGTTCATCCTTACCCATATTCAGATATGACAAAATCATTTTACAAAAAAAAACCTTTGAATATGCAGAAGAACCATTTGATTTTTGTTATGGACACCATTTACAACATTGGTTTTTTTGTGCACAGTTCACATTCACATTCGAAATACATTACAGTAAACAAACATTTTGCAAAAAAAAACAGCAGACCTGTGTAGAACTTGAAGTTAGAAATTACTATTATACTCGATGTGAAAAAATGCGATATGCAATATTCATTTCAAGACTATATCCATGTATGTGTTCATTTATACCTACATTTTGCAGATAAGGTTCATTACTTATGTTATTTGTGTATCAGTTATTTGTGGCATAATTATTTGCTATTGAAATCGTTGTAAAAAGTCACGTATATTCTTTAAGACTCATACACACTTCAAAAATACAATTAATAATACTTATAAGACCCTTAATTATTTCCAAATCGCCTATCTACTGATGACTAGTACACAGACCATGGTCTTACCTTTGATTTCCTGATTTTGTACCAGAAGTTCAGAATAAATAAAGGATGTCGAAGAAATAAAAGATCAAGCTTCTAAAGAATGTAGATTTTTTCTTTCTACTTCATGAAAAAGTTAGGAGGAATGTAATCACCCTCCTGGAATAACAGCACCTCCTTTAAAATATTTAAATAATGTGTCTACCTAGCAAAAAATTTCGTAATTTCATAATGTATTAAAATCTATGAAGCTGAAATTATAAATCGTCAAGTTATCGAACCATATTTTTGATGGTGCACCAACTGGCACTCTAAAAAATTGTCCAGTTGCAGAGTCAAAATACTTTTTCAAGATGACGGTAATACCAATAATCAGAATAAAAATTTTTAAGATCAGCATGATGGAGCTACACCATATTTCGTATTGAAATTAAGAAACTGTTTCAATCAAGATTTCAGATAGTTGGATTGGTAGACTCTTTCTCCAGATTCAACTATTTCTATGAGGATATTCAAAAAACTAAAATCCACTAAAACAGAGCAAATAACAAGCGGTAGTTTGAAAGTCAGAATGACTTTTTACTTTGTGACATTGAAAATATAGTAATATTTTGAATAAAGTCATAGTAATTCGAAAAATCTTACATCTGTGAACAGAAAACTTGAATGAGCTATCAAATGCACCATTGTTCCATTTAAAAAAATGTTGAAAAAGTGTGCTGTTACTTCATGTGGGTTGAAGAGGAAGGCATAAAGCCATGCTCGAAAAATGTCATTTTCAAATGAAAAACTGAAGTGCCTCCGAAATAATAATATTATTTAGCTATAATAATGAACATACTGTTATGTTATGAAGGTCCAGTTTCCTTTCAGATGATTTTTTCTAGAACTACGGGGACAACTTCTTCTATGAAGCCAACCCTTTTCAATTTTCCAAGTAAAATTTCATGATTAGATAACGAGACGTTAAAGTAAAAATGAATGAAATAAAAATGTTGAGTGAAACTGGTTCTGGATGAAAGCTTCCGCTCTTAAATCAACTCAGCATACACATATTTTGAGGGGAGATTCATTTTTTGTATTTTTTTTTCAAAAAGGGTGCTGATGAAGTGATAAGACAGGTGTCTTGTTCCGAAACTGCGAAGTACACCCGTGTGTTTCATGTAAGTTACATTTTATATCAATACTCTTACGTATATCAACATTTTGTATGTATCTGATAGAAACTTCTGTGTTATCTCTACAAATATTTATTGTCTAGAGTTTTCATTTAATCTTCTGTATCCCTTTATTTGAAAGTCCCAACATTGTTAAATGTTATCATAGATCGAGTTACCTCCATATCTTTGTAATGTTTTTAAGCTAAAATTATTTTATCAGAAATACCATCCTATTCACAGGACTCATTGGCGAAAAGGTCCTTGTTGAGGGTTAATAACAATACAATTCTACAACATACATCGAAAAAATTTGAAGGTTACTTTTCATATACTATATTAGGTACTTGATCTCTATATGAATGAAATAGGGCTTCCTTTTACTGCCTTTAGTAATAAAGTTAAATACAGATTTCAGGCAAGACATTGATACAGTTTGTATCATTATATAATGCTAAAATAGTGAACATGTAAATATTTTTTTAAACCAAACGCTAGTATATTTTGGCAAACTATGAAATTCAAATCAATTCACAAAATTTAGTTTATAAAAAAAAGAAGAAAAATCACCTCACCTGTTTCCTCTTGTTCATAAAAGAGGACATATGCTGTCTCACTCACAAGCGACTTTGGTGAAATTGGGGACACGTGTAAATCGTTGTATTCGTTCCACTATATGGATGTCGCAATATGCTGTGTAATGTCCATTGTAAGTGGTTCCACTGGGATTCGAAAGTGCATATAGATTATAACGACAAGGAGCCACATCGTCTGCTGCATACTCGCTCATTTCTTATCCTTTTAAAGAAAAGTCAATGGCAACATTTGATTTGACTCTGACTCTGTGGGGGAGAATCTTTTTAAATGAACTACTAAAATACGGGGAAACTTATGGATTGGTAGGAACCCTGTGTATTTTTTGTTTCCTTGCACTTGAATACGTTGGTTTTTCATCTCCATCCAGAGCATTTTGACAAACTCTATTGGCCAGTTCTTTGTGATATGGGGAGAGACAAATCCCAGAAAGGATCGAAGGTTACTGATGAGTGTCCACAGTGAGTGCACTTCATGGTGGATTTCAATTGACCAACGAAATTCTCTACAATCTTAAATTTGTACATCCTCAAATATCTCAGCCAGGACTCTTATGCTTTTATGCTGCCGCTCAATTTTTCGTCAATCTCCGTTAAGATCGGTTTAGGTTTTTCAGTAATTCCATTAAGGTACTCATGTTAACCTTCTAAAAGATATCGAAGGAATTCCTGGGCGTCTTGATGGGCAGAACAGTGTTTATTACTCCAAGAGATGAATCTTCTGACCACAATTATTTGATAACTTCCGCGGACGCTTTGATTGAAGCGCATTTCATACTAGAAATACTAAATATATTAATTTAATAGGGGGGAAGAAGGATCAGTTGCTAGCCAAGGTGCTGTACTTATGTTCTTTATATTCATCATGTACTGCTCAATAAATATATACATATATTATTATATTATGTGTTCCATTCAACCAGTGAGAAAGCAAGATTTTGTTGAAATCATCAAGCATAACGAAACTTTTCAAGATTTTAGCATTTGAGACAGACTATGATAAGTGTGATCAAAACAAAGGAAGCAGAAGGAGACATCTTGGTAACTCAAATCTGGCAGCACCAGTCTACATATGTTTGGAGTACTCAGAAAAAAAGTAAAACCATAGTCATCGAACTAGCCATAAATAAGTTTATCCAATAAATAAATTAATTTAACTCCTCCAGCGTTACGACACCAAAAAGTCGTAGATGATTGAAGCTACACTCTCGCCGTTGTTCAAATGCAAATGATGTGTTCCCGGAACCAAATGCCGCTTCAGCTTCTTAGCGCTCTTCTCGATCTCTTCCAGAATCATCGAGTAATGTCCGGGGTTATCCAACGTCAACCCCGATTCTGCCCGGATGTTCATAACCTCGCAGGTGATCCTGGAAGCGAATAGCAGCACCTCGTCTATCGTCATGAAACCCAGAGAGGAAACCTTCAACCTCGGGTCTCTGGTGAACAAGTACCTTTTGGTCTCGCCTACCTAGAATAAATCCGGGGATGAGGATGTTTTATACCTTCAGATGATACAATTCAGATGTTTGTAGGTTCACAAAGCCAAAGGAAGCAAATTTACTGTGCTTGAGAACCTAATTTCTCACTTCTACTTCAAGCAATGATTTATTCAAAATAGGCCAATCGGGAAAAAGCATTCAAGTAACTGAAGATCCTAGTCGTTGGTAGACATAATTATGTTTATATTGACCCCAGGAAATAATTCTTCATTCTACTTTGGTCTCAATGCTATTTTTAGTTTTACAAATCTCGAGTGAAGTTTTTCTTGTTATTGTTTAATATTGTTTGCAAATGAAATTGTAGGTATATATTGTATATTATTTTTCAAGAAGATAAATTTTGTACCAAAAACATTTCGCCGATCGGACCCTGTCCCCGATGATCGGATACATTCGTTGGGCGCCCAGGCACCATTAACCAATGACCACTCCCTATAGCGCGTGGTGAAAGATCAATGGGTGAGAAAATTATGTGCCCTGAGTACTTATGATGCACTTTTTGGAACCTTTGGTGTAGTAATGAATATTACTGGAGTTTTTTCCCAACACCAAATCGTTATTTTCAACACCTCGACACGTGTTTCGATCACCAAGTGATCATCTTCAAAGAGGAAGATTAAAACTAGAAACTAATGCGAAGCTAACCCTTTTTTTTAGGGATTAGGGTTAGCTTTGCATTAGTTTCTAGTTTTAATCTTCCGCTTTGAAGATGATCATTTGGTGATAGAAACACGTGTCGAGGTGTTAAAAATAACGATTTGGTTGGGAAAAAACTCCAGTAATGCCCTGAGTAGTTGAATGAAAGGAAATTGACGATTTTCTGCATTTGCTCGGCCAAGATATTTTCCTCAGCGAGGCAAGCCGACATGATCTTGAGATTGGAGAGCTCGGAGGGCATCATTCACTAAAGACTTCAATAATATGATCAACCGTTTCAACAGAAGAGTCTGGGTAGATGCTACAGAGTTCGAAAAAAAATCTCGAATTTGATTCTGTCTTTTCTACTCACTCCGAAAGAGATTCGTCTCTCCCGGAGCTGAAAACTCCTGGACGAATATCGTTTTACTTTGATGGTCGAGAAGGACTGCATCAGGGTCTTGTATTAGTCTGAGCTTGAGGAATAGTTCCAATAAAATCAGCACTTCCTACTTTCCACAACGGATTCAATATCTTTCGGATATTAAGGCAACACCGGTGTCTCTTCAAAACCATAGGAGTACTGGAGATGATAATATAAGATTCGTGGGGGTGCCTTATGTTGATAGATATAGGTCTGAGTAAATTGGGCATGTTGAGAGCTAAGGCATATGGGTATCAGGCGCAACGTGGTAGATCTTGCACCTGGAGCCAGGAACCTCTATACCCATCATGCGATTACGGTAAACTTAGGCGTTGAAGACACCATCCTGGCATACCGTTCCCGAGTAGATAAGAGTGGATCCTCCGGGAGAAGGAAATATTGAGAGCAGATAGTTGTTGGTTCACAGATGGATCAAAAACACCTTCTGGTTCTGGTGTCGCTTACCCAGGACAGAGATATCAACCTACCTAGGAACCTATGCGACTGTATTTCAAGCGGAAATTTACGCTATTGAATTGTGTGCGGAGAGATTGGAAGAATCCAACCTCATACACAAGTCAATAAAAATATTCTCGGACAGTCAAGCGGCGTTGGAAGCTCTTGGCTCCTACCGAGCAACGTCTAAATTGGTAGCAAATTGCCAAAAACGACTCTCCTCGATAGGAAGACGAAACAGATTGTCTCTGGTCTGGATTCCTGGCCATACTGGCCTGGAAAGCAATGAGGCTGCTGACTCTCTTGCAAAGGAGGGTGTTGCAAGCAGCTTCATCGGACTAGAATCTGTCATTGGCATCGCTTTCGGCTTTGCCTGGATGGTAAGAAGATTTATGGACTTCTGGTAGAATGTTTCAGGATTGGCTCACTCCAAGGCGTTTATTCACCCTTCGAAGCTTAATACCAAACAGTTGTTGGACTTACGGACTAACCTAACCTAACCATCCTGGCAACATGATAACCCTCACTCGACGCAAGGAAAACAAAGGTCAGATGCTTTGATAAGACGAGATCTTCAATGTTATTGAAGAAAACTGCATGCGACAGCTTATCCTTGTGTGGTCGCATAAATTAAGTGGTCGCTGCGGCTTCCATGTGGACCTTTCGCCGAACGGGTTTCAACTCGGTGGCAGAGTTGTGGTCATCTCGTTCGGCCGCTCGGACAGCTAACGTGTAAAGACACTATAATTTCTACTATCATGTGATGTCGGACCATGCAGAAAAGAGGTTACAAATTCCTAACGACTTTACAAGTTCCATCCGATTATCCATCATGGATGTAGATATTGTCGAAGTAACCGACATAGTAATTCTTAAAGCTTCGGCGAACTCAAAGGCTAAATAAATCAATACAAAGGAATTTTGAAGATAACTATACCAAAAACCAACTACTTGAAGTTTTACAGACAGAAACATTTGAAAAAGTGTATGCCCTTGAGAGTATTGCTGAAAAGTATGGACACACCATATTGAGACTTCCCCCTATTTTTGTGTTTTCAATCCCATCGAGTTTATTTGGGGAAAATTCAAACTAAGCATCAAGCGTAAAAATAATTTTCCAAAATTTGATAAGAAGGTGATAGAGCTAGTTAAAGAAAAAGTATCTAATATCACCGAAGAAGACTGACAGAAAAGGATTAAAAAAGTAATTTCAGTTGAAAAAGACTATATGGAGACTGGACACTTCCATATCAATTTTGGAAATAAATTCATTATTGATTTAAATGACGACAGTGATAGTGAAACGGAGAATATGGAAGAAGAATTATCAGAAGCTTTCGAATAAATTTATTGAAGTGTTTTTGAAGCGATCGATTGTACATATGTACAGGGCTATTCAAATTCGTTTCTGTACATGGGGATCTCGTAAACGATAAGAGATATCGTGTCGATTAAATTGTAGCAAAGTTGTATATTATAGGGACCTATTCAATGATGTAAACAAGTACTTCATACTGAGAAATTAAATTCAATTTCATGTTTCGGGATTTTTCGGTAATATTCGATTATAATTGTGTGAATTATTCCCTTTTAAATTACGGCTCTGGAAATTGGTTGACTGAGTTGAATAAAAACATAATAGCAACTTTCACGTCTCCCTATGTATCGTAGAGTTTTTCGAGAGTTTTTTTAAATTTTTAGGTATCTATTCATATTTTTTCCATTGCTCTGAGCGTTTTCTACAATGAACTTCGAATAAGAAAACTTTTTATGATTATTTGAAGCATATCTACATCAAAAATATATTATATGTGTTTTAATAAGCAGAAAAAGAGATGATAGCAATAATAACATCCGAAACAAATACAATTATAATTGTAATGAAAATTGAAATGAAGTAATTTATATAGGTACCCAAAAAAATTATTGGCGCAATAATGTTCGAATTGGAGTCCTTCCATTTCGAGACATTTTTAAACTCGGTTTTTCATATTATTTATTGCTCTTAATACACTTATTTGCTGCATTGTTGCGAAATCATTCAAAATCCTCAATCTCGAGTCTTCCACATTTTCTATCTCTCTGCCAGCGTAAATCCTATTTTCCAATGTCCCCCATAGGAAATAGTCCAACATAGTAAGATCTGGTGATCTTATTGTCTCATTATTTGTCTCGAAATGGAAGGACTCCAATTCGAACATTTATTGCACAATTTTTTTTTTTGTGTATATAAATTACTTCATTTCAATTTTCATTATAATTATAGTGTTCGTTTCGAATGTTGTTATTGCTACCATTTTTTTCTGCTCATCAAAACACATATAATATATTTTTGTTGTAGATATGTTTCAGATAATCATAAAAGGTTTTTTTATTCGAAGTTCACTGTAGAAAAAAAAAGCTCAGAGCAATGGAAAAAATATGAATAGGTACCTAAAAATGAAAAAACACTTTCGAAAAACTCTACGGTACATAGGGAGACGTGAAAGTTGCTTTAATGTTTTTATTCACCTCAGTCAACCAATTTCCAGGGCCGTAATTTAAAAGGGAATAATTCACACGATTATAATCGAATATTTCCGAAACATCCCGAAATATAAAATTGAATTTAATTACTCAGTATGAAGTGAACGTCTACGATCCAAAAACTAACAACAAAAAATACAGGTCCGTATTGAAAAATTCAAAGATAGGGGTGGCCCAAGTCAGATGACACCCTGTATAAAAAATTCATGGAAATATTCTGAGAGCCACAACAAGTGCCAATAGCAAAATGTGGACAGATTTTCAATATGTCTGCGAATAAAGAAGATATAGGTAAAAAAATAATTTGGGATTTTTTGGTTTTTCCTGTATATTTCCAGAACCAAAAGAGCTATATTCGATTTCTTTACTTCATTGAATAGGTCTCTGAAATACGCAGCTTTGCCATAATTCAACCGACACTCTATCTCTTATCGTTTACGAGATCCCCATGTACAGAAACGAATTTGAATAGACCTGTATATACAGGGCGTTCCTTAAACACATGCTTATATTCAAGGAGGTAATTCTTAGATCCATTTTAAGGAAAAAATGTCCTATGGACGTATGTCCTAAACGCCTTAACTTTTGAGATACAGAGTGGCAAAGTTTTCAAAAAGAATCAGTTTTTTAATAATAACTGAGATAATTTTGTAGACATCTTTGGCATATTTGGTACATATGTTCCATGCATCAAGGCGCATTTTCTGATGTACAATTTTCTTCATTTTCTCTGCCAGTGGCGTACGTACGAGTTTTGAAATGTATATTTTTGGCGAAAAAAATACTACGCCACTGCTTTATCTTGAATTAAAAATTATTTTTAAAATCTCCATACATTTTTGAGCACATTTGATTTGCTGGGTTTTCTTTGTCCGACGCTTGGTTTTTGCTCAAAAAATTAAAAATCGCTTTACTTAAGGATAAATTCCTTAAAAATCTGATGCGGTATCGTGCATCGACTGAAAGCAAATTAAGAGATCAGATTTGTTGCAAAATAATTGAGGATCTAAAAGGTATTTGTTTGTTGTCAGATGCACTGTTCTCAATTAAAATTACGTCATAACACAGCACCGTTTAATAATTTTTGAAAACATAAATTTAGTTATCCTGGAATAAATTACGTGTAGCAGAATTTATTTACTGCACCTCTTGGAAATATGGAGTTTGTCGATATGTGATTTCTTTTAAAGATNTCGGACAAAGAAATACCAGGAGATCAAATTTTCTCAAAAATAAATGAGGATTTTAAAAATGATTTTATTTTGAAAAGAAAGCATTGGCGTAGTACTTTTTCCCCAAAAATATTCAATGCGAAACCCGTAGGGATGGCAATGTTTGAAAAAATACAAATTTGTGTACATCAGAAAATGCGCCTCGAGGCATGGAACATATGTACCAAATATGCCAAAGATGTCTACAAAATTATCTCAGTTGTTATTAAAAAACTGATTATTTTTGAAAACTTTGCCACCCTGTATCTCAAAAGTCAAGGCGTTTAGGACATACGTCCATAGGAAGTTTTTCTCTTAAAATGGGTCTAAGAATTACCTCCTTAAATATTAGCATGTGTTTAAGGAACACCCTGTATATAATAAAGTTATTGTGATCCTTATATTATCAGAAATGATCATTGAATAACAAAATTAGTTAGCTCCCTAACTATTTTATTAAAGGGGAACTGCTGGAAGGTAGGGGGCACTATATCGTTTACTTGAACTATACCCCAAACATAAAATTCCCTGGCCTGCCTGTTATAGAGGAAAGTATTACCGTAAAACAGACGATTTGGAATACATATTCCAATGGATATGTATTGAATAACTTCATCAACTTGATACAACTCCCCTCGCGTCCATATCACTACTTCAAAAGACTATAGAGTCAAATCGGAACAACAAGAGAAATAAATATTACTAATATCATTACCGGTGCCATCCCCCTTCGCATCATTATCTCGCAACCCTCTCTGGTGACGGATCCCTTGTGAGCGTCGACTACGATGTTGATCATTTCCTCGTAGTTGTAGCAAGGCATGTCGTCTACGGTTTTCTTCTCGTACTCCAAAAACTTGTCGACGCTCGTACCTATAGCTTCGAGCATTTTCTTCGGGTCCCTCACGCTGGGGCCGGCTATGTCAATGCTAACGTACTTCTTGACGTCGTCGGGGTACGCCGCAGCGTACATAAAGGCCACGCACCCTCCCAGGGAGTGTCCAATTATCGTGATCTCCTTCCAGCCGAAGTGTTTCACGATGCGTCTCAGGATGGGCACCCCGTCCCAGAAGAGGTAGTAGTTTTGGCCTTTCGGTAAATGCGAGGAGAAGCCATGTCCTGGGAGGTCTATGCAGAACAAGGAGAGACCTTTTTCTTTGAGGAGCGGCGCTAGGTTGTCGAAGGTGCCGCTGTTGTCTTGCCAGCCGTGGATGGCGATAGCCGGTTGGACGGTCTTGGGGCCCCACCATTTTCCTACAAAAAAATTATACGTCAGACGTTTTTTCAAAACTATCAAATAGAGGGGATTTTTTGTTTCCTGATAGAGCTTGCTCAGCGAATGCAGACTTCTCGGTCTGTCCGTCGGGGACAGACCGAGATAATTATTCAACAACAATGTATTTACAAGCTATTGAAATACACCAACACTAAGAGAACTTCAACAGGAAAGAAGAGAGAACATATCTACCAAAGATCTGGCAAGATCTGGAAAGACAATTTTTCACGCAAGGATGTAATTTTTATCAAAGTCAATCATATTATTAAAAGTTCACGGAATTGAAAACGATGATTCATGGCTTTTGAATCACGATAATGCCCACTCGTCATTGCTTGTCCATAATTTTCTGGCCAAAAACAATGCCGTAATTATGCCTCAGCCACCGTATTCACCAGATTTGGTCCCCGGCGACTTTTTCCTGTTCCCAAAATTGAAGAGACCTATGAAAGAACGGCGTTTTGCGCCGATTGAGGAGATAAAAACCCCAAACTGCAGAGAGAGCTCAAAGACATACCAAATAGTGCATATCGAAACTACTTCGGGGATTGAAAAAAATGCTATCTGTTCTGTTTTTTTTAAATCTGTTTTTCCGTTAACCAGCTGTCGCACCCCTACGAACGACAATCCTCAGAAGTCGAAACTTGTGCGAGCTAAGGATTAACGAGGTCTTACCTTTCAACGGGTGATTGCTAACACGTCCCTCCCCTAAGAGACTATTTTGATGGGAAATAAAAATTCATGAATAAATAAATAATTTTTGAGAAACATTTAATTACAATTTGTAAATATTAATGGAAATATAAACATAGAATTTTGATATCACCGGATGTGTCACGAATTCTAAAGAACCTACCAAGTTTCGAAGCACAATAATGAATTGTTGATTAGGATTTAATCAACAAGTTGACTATTTGAATAAAATTATTTATCAATCTAATGTCTATAGACATAATCTGTTCAATAAATATATATTATACTTTTGTTAACTCAATCTTAAGTTGTAGCATTATAGTGTGGTGGGGTGTTGATAATTCAAAAGTTTCATTTGTCTGATTTTTTATCTGAAATATAATTAAACTTGTAGATGGATTTTCCTAGATCACTTGCATTTATGTCTACAAATTCAGTGAAAAATTCGTACACACAGAAACTTTCAATAGAAAACAAGCGGAAATCAACATAAATAGTATCTACTTGCCCTTAATTGCACACAAATAAGGCCATTTAATACAACCAATAGAAATAAAGCCATGACCATCACCAATTGAATAAAATCGGAGACAAATTCCATTAACGTAATGTCTGTTGTGAGGACAACCCGTATATCCTTTCACTGTCGGTCCATGTTAAATGATGAAATCAAAGAATCATTGACGTTGTTAATTTATCTCGCGAGAGACTACATTTCATAATGATTAATATTTATTATTATACCCAGTTTATTGAACACATTACACTTTATACGTGGCCCTCAAATGCAAGGAGCTCGGATGAATTGTACCTACCTACCCATAGTCTCCTGTCCCTTTCCCCGTAACTTTAATCATCCAATCATAAAAACATTTGGTGAAAAAAATGTATAGAAGCAGGTTTCTTATTGGCACCGTATAGAAGTAAACAAAAGTTATTTTGAACAACTTTACAACTTGGATAAGGAAAATCAATATAGACTAGCATCCAAACTGATTCTCATTTATTTTAAAGTATCTTTCAAAAAATGAAGGTTAAATTAGTCAGTCAAGTTTTCAGTCATTCGCTAGTTACAGCGATGAATACTTATGCCAGTTTCAATCAGTAATAGGGAGAAGCCAAAAACGCAACACCTTATTAAATTACCAGAGCTTTTAAAATACATTTTTTACTCTTCAGTATTTCACACATGCAGAAGGAACTAACTGTCTAGAACAGGGGTCTCCAAACTACGGCACGCGGGCCAAATCCGGCCCGCGACAGCCAATGATTTACTGTCATCAATCTGGCCCGCGACAGCCAATGATTACCTAATTGTTGTAACTATTGCTGTGATAAGTTGAAGAAGAAAACACAGAATGATAATTACTCGGTTTTATTTACTTGCAAGGTAAAACTTAAAGACAGAAATGATGACAAAGAAAACTCAACTTAAGTATCTAAATATTACTGGAGTTTTTTCCCAACACCAAATCGTTATTTTTACACCTCGACACGTGTTTCGATCACCAAGTGATCATCTTCAAGAGGAAGATAAAACTAATAACTACTCAAAACTAAAGCTACTTATACTAATCAGGTACATCATACAGGTAGGTAATCAGTAATACCACCCATACAAGTGTACCACCCTAAATTAATTTTACAATTGGCCTTTCTATTATTTACAATATGTCCTTATGTATGTTTAAATGTTACAGCTATATATAGAACAATTTTCAGCAATATAAAATTAGTTTCACAATATTGCCTATCTAAATATATTTACAATGTGTCTTTTTGTAGTAATCAGTAAACCCAACAATATTATTTCAACAAGCTATATAGTATGCTATTTGGCATTGGTCCGTTGTCGTTATTCATAATATTATTATGTTTACTTATTTCCACACTCTCATAGGCATCTAGTTGCCTGTTGTTATTAACTTGTCTAACTAATCTTGAAGAACTGAAGTCTATGGAATGGTTTTGTTGCAAAATATGATGGGCGACTGCTGATTTTTCAGGTCTTCCATATTTTAAGTGTGCTATGTGTTCCTTATATCTCCCTTTAATAAATCTTTTTGTCTGTCCATAATATTTTGCATCGCAGTCCTTACATTAAATTTCGTAAATTCCAGACTTTTCCGAATTCTCGACTTTGTCTTTTGGACTTCCAAAAAGGTTCTGCAGTGTATGACTTGTTTTAAAAACCACCTTCATACCTGGTTCCTTGAAAATCTTTCCAAAGTTCTTCGTATATTGGTGGTATGGAACTGAGATGTATTTATCTTGGTTTTTGTCTTTTCTGAAAGTCGAGATTTCGTTCATTCTTAACCTAAACTTCTTTTTCCTAATTATGTCATCTACAATACCCCTCGGGAAACCGTTAGTGGCTGCTATTTCCTGTATTGTACGTTTTTCTTTTGTGAACCTATCATATGTTAGAGGGAAAGTCAAAAGACGATGCACCAAAAAATTCAACCCAGCACGATTGTGCTGTCCACAGTGATGTGATGTGTTCATATGATTTGTCACTATTTTCTAGATCGCCAAAAGGGCGCTGCTTCTCATTTAAAAAAAAATCGATCTCTGCTCAAAAAAGCGCTTAAAGACTTTTCCGCAACTAAGCCAGCGTACGGCAGTATGATATGGTAAATCATTTTCTCCAATCTGTTGAATAAACTCGCGGAATTGTCGGTGATTCAGCCCAGTAGATCTGATGGAGTTAACAAATGATATGACTGGTTTTAGAACTTCAGACAAATCCAAACATTTTCCGCACAAGGACTGTTGATGAATGATACAATGTTGAACCACCATCATTTTCTACAGCCTTTGACAAAAGTGCAACCACTCCTTTATTTTTACCATACATATTTTTACCTCCATCAGTTGTTATAGATTTCAAATTTCTCCATCGGAGGTTCTTTTTAATAACGGCATTTTCAACTCCCTTAAAAATATCTGCCCCAGTTGCCGTGCAGTGAATATTATCAATATCAAGAAGTTCTTCATACACTTCATAGCTTTCATCTACTCCGCGAATAAAAATCAACAACTAACATCTGTCACATCCGTTAACTCATCCAATGCTAGAGAAAACCACTCATGATGTCCATTTTTGTCAGACAGTTGAGATGACATATTTTCTGCGATGTCTTGCATCCTCCGAGCCACGGTGTTTGCTGACAAACCGGCACTTTTAAATAAATTTACCTTTTCGGGGCATATTTCTTCGGCTACTGCAATCAAGCATTCTTTTAACATTTCTCCATCGGTGAATAGTTTGCCACGTTTTCCGATTTCAAGAGCCACACGAAAGCTGGCGCGAGTTGCAGACTCTTATTCAATATAAGCTTAGATAAACAAAGATTGCTGCGATTTGAGTCCGCGTTTCAAAGCTTCAAATTTTTCCTTCCGCAAACTTCCTGTATTCTTGGAGTAACTTTGAAGATGTTTCGATTCATAGTGTCGTTTAATGTTATAGTCTTTGAGAACAGCAATGGTTTCATTACAAATTAAACATAGCGCCTTATTACTGGACTCAATCATAAAATACTGAAAGTTCCATTTTTCTTGGAACGTTCTCCATTCACTGTCGATTTTTCGCTTCTTTTCCATACTAACAAATCACACATAAAAACAATAAGTCAAATCAAAATACTTTTATTGATGAGTGTTACTTTATTTCACAATAGACAGTTTCGCTTCCTTCGCCTTTCCTACGCAGACTAACTCGCAGTTGCGCCGCTAGCGTTTTTATATGCAATTATTACTGCCATCTCGAGGTGATCGGAATACACTAGCTAGAACCAGAACTTTCTCGAACCAACGCGGTAATTCCAAATATTTAATTACGCCTACTGCCACCTAGCGGGTAGCTGAAAAAGATAGTACAAAGTACCACTACTCGCCACTAGATGTCGTTAAGTGTCACAATACACAATAATAATTGAAATGCAAAAAAAGCGTAAGTTTGCTTAGGTCACGCACTTTGCGACTATCTTAGTCTAGAAATATAGTTGAGGGCAGAAATTGGCCCTTGGAACAAACTGAAAAAATATTTATGGCCCGAAGGCTTCAAAGTTTGGAGACCCCTGGTCTAGAAGATACTAGTGAGATTCTATCTAATATTACAGATGCTGACATAAATAGAATGAAGATTCTTGTGGAAGTTCCAAAAAATTCCTATAAACCTTCGTGAGTAGAGACAAATGATTATGGAACTCTAGCCACTCCCGAAGGCAACAGCTCGGGTGGATATCTTTTGAGAAAATGTTAAAAAAAAACATTCATGTAAAGT